GATGTACTCAAAGGGATACTGCTAGCTGTTGAAGCGTGGATGAAGGATGTAAAGCCATAGACAATTGCGAGTTGCTTTAACCACTGCAAGATTTGCTCATCAACTTAAGACGAGCAAATCTTAGAAGTGCAAGAAGTGGAGCCGGAACTCACCTTGATGGATGAAATCGGGTCCCAAATCAAGGAATTTCAGTACCCTAATCCTATGGACATCCGAAATCTCATTGACTATCCAACAAAACAGGAAGTTGGATACATCTCCACAGAGGAAGACATCATTGGAGATCTACTTAAGACCAGTGATGATAATCCCGCTCTCAAGGATACTTCTGAAGAAGTTGATGTCAGCATTGAGAAGCCAATGATCAAGCGATAGGAGGCAGTCCAAGCAGCACAAACGCTCACACTCTTTCTTTAACAGCAAAATGAAGACAAGATTAACCGCGTGGGTAGCATTAGTGACATCAAGGACTATATAACTCGCATTTGCTTTGAAGGCCTCATACAGTGCCACATTCACAACTTTTTTCAACCCTTGTAGCACTCTTCATAACAATACAATATTGTATAAGCTAAAACATATCTAGGGGCAGGAAAATTCTTAATAGCTATAAGGAATGAGGGGTTTATAAGCTACATTATGGACCCACATTGGGACCGACACAATGTTATATGGTAGCTGAGGCTATAAGCTAAGAGGGTATAAGGTACAAGATATTTTACTATAACTAACATACCTCAGCATGCCCTTGTTAGCTAATTATGAAATCTTGCCAAGCAGCGAGAACTAGTATCATCACAAAATTGTTGAGTGATGGAAGCATCAAGTATCAAAGATCTTCGACATCAAAGATAACTCTAGTATCAAAGGGGTAGAAAAGTCAAGGCTGTCATTAGGCATGACATCACACACATTGATCATACAAGAGCTTGATAGTGGCTTTTTTCTTTGCTCCACACATAAAATGAGATTAATGATCATTCCAAATTTTTTATATATCAAAATATCATCTTAAAAAAATGAAAAAAAGTGTTTAGATATGGACAAAATATATTTTTTTATCAATCTCATGGATGTTTTAGTAAGACCAAAAGAAATCAATATATACTCAAAGTGGTCATATCTAATATGAAAAATAGTTTTGTGTATATATTTATCTACAATTTAAATTTGATTTTAATTGTTTTTCAAATCTAGCTATGTTCAATATTTCGCTCCTTAAAGTTGATCAAACAAATCATTCATATGAAGTAATGAATATTTGTTTTTCACCGTTTGTTTGTTCAATCCACCATTGTAAAGATATATCTTTTTTCTTCAAAAATAAACCTAAAGCTACACAAGATGAAACACTTGATTGAATAAATACTTTGCTCAACATTTGTTACATTTAAGCTTTACATTTTTCAAATCATCTAAAGTCAAACAATATGGAACTTTGCAAGTTAATGTGCTTATAGATTTCATATCAATCTTGTGATCTACACGTTTCTTTGGTGATAATTATATTGTTAGATCATCTGAAACATCTTTATACTCTATTAAAATATACTTGAATAATTTCAAGTTATAAGTTTGTTGTGTGAACCTACTTAATTCTTCAATCTACCTTTGAATTATATTGCTTTATTCATAGGGCTCATAAGATGAAATTATATAAAACTAAGCAAATTACTTTCCATTCAATTATCTCCTTGTATCTACACATGAATAAGTTTTCAGTCTATGGTAGTGTCTCTATCATTTTAACTTACCGTTTGGCGTTTCAACTTCAACATTCACATCTTTCATTAAAGTCAAACTTAACTTCATGACAAAAAAATTTTTGTTGTTCCAAAATTCATTAAATTTTCATCTTTTATTTTTTCATCTTCCATATGTGAAAATAAATTAGACTTATTTCTTGCTCCTTCCATGAACTTCCAATCATTGTATTCTTTCAATCTCTATCTGTCTTTATTTCATTCAACATGCAAGGCAACAAGGCAAGTTCATTGATAATTATTGTTTGTCCAAAACTATTTCATCAGCTCTTGTGTACTTTAGATACTCCATGTTGTTAAAAGATTGTTGTTGTATGGCACATACTCCTTATGATCTTGATGAAATTTGACAACATTCATTTTTTGCATAGCTAACATCTATGATTATCACAAGTTTTTGTTCCTTCTTGAATCATTTCATTATTTGCATATATTTTTTGCAAATTTGAAATCACTGTTTGTCAAATTTCAATTTCAAATCGTAGACCTGATCCTTGTGATAATGCAAAATCTTCTCTATGTCAAAGATTTACCAACTTCCTTGACGTAAAGTTATGTAGATCTTGAAAAGTGTTTGATGATTCACAATGTGTGACTTGATGAGCATCCAAAATTTGTTGTACAATTGCAATTGCCTCATTCACTGTGGATTGTTTATCATCACTTATTTCTAAACTTGTTGTTGAAGTAGACTTGGAAGCAAACTGAGGCTGAGATCAAGATGGAGATTCATTTTCAACTTGTTAAGTCAAATTAAGACTAGTAACAGAAGTTGTTGACAAGTAAGAGACACCTGCTTTGGATTCACTCATTTGATTAAGGCCTTACAAATCCCTCATCGTCCTCGCTGTACTGGTTGTGGAGTCTCCCTTTTTGTTCCTTATTACAGTAATGAAGATGAAATCTCTTCTAACTTCATGTGCTGCATCCACATTGCAAACCCATCATTCTAGATCCAATCCCATCCCATCAAGTTTCATCGCAACGTCACTCGACGACATTTGGCGTTTTGTTACATAAGCATCATGGATTCGCTGCACTTTATGAGAGAAACGCCGCAATTATGATTACTTTGATTATGATTTTCTAATTGTTCTCGTGACCACTACAACAACAACTTTCGCAACTTTACAAACAAGTAAATATTTCTGCAACTACATGCATGAAACGAGCTACTGAATAAATAATTCGTGACTTCTAGAATAACTATGTGAAAAATGAGTATGAAAGTACTATCTAACCATCAGCATCACTTAAGCAAATCATTGCAAAATTGAAAGAAATATACATGTTTGCTAATTGTGATGTTTGTTCTAAGCTATTTCAGTTGGTGATCATACTTTGCAAAAACAAAGATAGCAAATCATTGCAAATTTGAAAGAAATATACATGTTTGCTAATTGTGATGTTTGTTCTAAGCTATTTCAGTTGATGATCATACTTTGCAAAAACAAAGATGATATATTGGTTGCTAAAACTAAATCCAACTGTTTTGTTGATCTTGAAATCACAACAACTATGAGTGAAAATTGGCAACATATATCTACTTGAATGATTGAATTACCAGTGAGTGTAACATATTAGCTTTATTAGGTTGTTATCAATGGCAACAATGTTGGATAACATGAAACAAATTTTCTATTTGATTGGAGGATGTTCAAGAAAAATGTATGAACTTTCAACTAATGTTGTTGGATTCTAGTGTATTTTATGTAAAGTAGATAATCTAAGCATTAATTCACAATCTAATCTCTTTTGTTGTTGTATGGGATTAACGAAATAAAAATGTTGAGAGATATCCATTTCAAATTCAGACATTTTGAGAATGTTGTAGTGATGCATCATCACTAAGATGGAGTTGGATGTGCAAGTCATAAGGAACTATGTTCAACAATTGCAACTATGTTACACTTGCAAATTCTTATCACATACTGTTGTATGTTGCAGTGTTATGTTGACATTGATTATGAGGAGCGAATCAACTTGCAAACTTAGTACGTGCAGTTTGTGAATATATAAGAACACAGAGTTACAGAGATATACGCATATGTGGAACTAAGAGGTTGGAATTTTTATCTCGAATCTTTATTTTGTACTTCCTCATTTCACATTGAAAATTAAGAAATCAAACATGAAAATAAACATTCTCACTTTCAATCCTTACTTTATTCGTATCATTTTCATTAATTTCTCATTAAGTTTCAAGGCTATTGTAGAACTGCGAGATTGCGGTTAGATGTAAAGCCGATGCCACCATGGCGAGCATGAAAGCCAGAAAGATTCAGGTACCTACCTTCGCAACTCTAGCCTACTGGCCAAACGAGGAAAACGAAGGAAACAGGATAGGAGAAACACTTCATCCAGAGATACTCTTTTGTCCGTTATCCAGTAGTCTTACGGGTCTTTCCACTCAAGGGTCAATAATCAGATTTTCTCGCGGAGTACGACAGGAGTGATATTATGGTTAGGGTGGGCAGAAAGTGAAATTACAACAACCAGACAGTGTCTTTTAAAAAACGCAACCAGATAATATTTTCCACCTTCAATACAAAAGGCTCCTTGTGAGTTGCTTCTGACTTACACACTAAAGATAGTAGTTTGTAAACTCATTCATCACACAAACAATGGGAAATTGTCAGATTGAAAGGATGGGATCCAATTTTTGAAATTTGGGTTGATTTGAAATTTTAACAAGTTTTACCTGTAATCTGAGAGCAATGAAAGGCATCCAATATTTGACGAACAATAGTTCAGTGTAAGTGAAGAGCAGTCTGAAAAATTAATGTGATATATACTATCAACGGATTAGGTAGCATTTGCAGTAAAATGCAGAAATCAAAGCTATGTGTAGAATTTGCAAATAGTGGCATATGTAGGAAATGTTTGCCACACACACCTTGGTAAAGTAGCCGGAGAGACAAGAATGCTGAGAAAACGGATCATTTATAACATCAAAAGGATGTCGACCAGGTTACAGCCATATACACGGAAGAAACATACCTACCGAAGAAAGGTACAAGGTTACAAAGGTTGAAATGGTGTCGATCACGAGGGGCGGCAAATCTATCCTGATCAAGAAAAACATGATCAACAGCCAGGGCTTGGCATGCAAGGAATCAAATCACATCCAGTAGCGGAGGAATGAGTCAAGAGTGACTTGCAAAGAAAGTAGAAGAAGTATGATGCATGAACTCATAGACCGAGATGAATCGAAGGTTGTGAAAACTCCAAATGTGTGGTTAGAAGAGTTCCTATATTAATATGACTGGTCACGGTTTTGCCGAAAGTGGACTCCGTAAAAATAATTAGATACAGTTGTCTTGAATTCAGTTTCAGGGCAACAACCACAGTGGGTTCGATGGTCCATTGGGTTCTCGAGCAGTCGCACTCCCCAACCTTTCAAACGTGAGAAACTCACACCAAGTTGGCATCATGTCGAAAACAATAAGTAATTCGACGAAGTTCAACAGTTGGTGGAAACCATCTCTTCAGTTACTCCTCTCTTGCAACAGAATTGTGGAATCTGGAAGGATGGGCATCGTCCTTCTCAGCAAATTAGTGAAGTGATTCTTAACACCTCTTAACACCTCTAAGTCAACACTCGGTATACCAGAACTTGACCATCACGAAAATATTAAGGGCTTATTTGCATCTGAGATGATCGTCAAGTCCTGCGATAGCATTCCAAAATTTCCATAATTATGAATGTGTGAATGCTCTCCTGTGGTGTCACACCAGCTTGTTCACTTGATTACTCATCGGTTGATGCTCGTCCAGAGGTGAAGTTCTCTTTCTGACTCGGCATAGACGTCGTTGTTCTTAATGAACAATATCAGTCTCCTTCAGCTCGACCAACATTTAACGGCATCCTCAGAGTATGACTTTCCCGGCAACACCAGGAGCATATATCATACTTTGCTTCGCCCCCAAGCCAATACGTTCGTACCCACCGCCGTATTATCATGTCTCAAGAATAGAAGCGCGCAATGGAAGTGTCCATACGGATATCAAAACATGTAAACATGCAAGTCAGAGAAGTCCATGAAACAGCTCCGCTTCTTGAGATCACCGATGCAGAATTCAAGGACATTGAAAATTTGAGAGAATCTATTCAAGTGACCACAAGTGACAGCTGTTGTGATAGACTGATAGATACTGAAAGTTAAATTTTGCACGATGAAAGGATTTTGATAGAAGATTCTACTTACAGGTTCACATCTGCTAAGATAAGAAAAACCCCGAAGAGCTTGGGGATTAAAAAGATGGCCATTTTATAGGAAACGCAAAAACTGCATCCAAGCCTTAAAAGGCTTGGATGGAGTCAAATCCAACTGGTACTTCACCACTGATACGGGAAGTACCCTGCACATGTTGTCCAAATGTGGTAGACATCATGCGGTAGCGACGCTCTTTCTAATACGCGCAATACTGTGATTGAATGCATTCACTGTCCGGTACCCTCTGGGACAGTAACCAGTTGGCGCAACAACGTGAGGAGACTTTTCATCTCATGTTACCCTCTCGAAGGACGTCTATCATGTTAAAAACCTTACCCTCCAGTTCTCCATCCGTTTGCTTCTGAATCTGAATACAAAGTTTGGAAACTCGTCAACATTCCCTCTCTTCGGAGGATTGAAGAACTATCAGACGATCAGAAGTCATGAGCATGTTTAGCTCTACGATTTTTCCTGCGTTACTCCAAAATTTCCGCAGAGCCATCTACTTCCGACCTACGCTTTCGCATGCAGTAACTTCGTTATATCACTCTAGTTTTCTGCATTAGATTTTTGCACACTTGGCTGCAAATAAAAAAGAAAAACGTAGTAGGAGGCTTTAGTGGCTAAGTCCATGAATGGGACTGATGCAGGACACTACCTTATTCATGAGGAAGAGGACGGCGTCAACTGTCCCTTGGGCATAGATTTTCCTCCCACAAACATTATGTTTGAACTCGAAAGCAACCCTGTAATTACCACGTTCAGATAACCTTATAAGATTGATGTATACAAAAAGACTCAGTACCAGTAAGACCGTGGAAGTAAGAAGGACGTAAAGAAAAAAATATCGGCAAATGGAAAACCGCACATATAATTCTCTGGTCAGAGCTAAAATGTTATAAATCTTGTGTGGAACACACTACGATAGCCTTAATTTTTTTCTCTTACGTGTCATCTGGAGACGAGACACGATAAGTGTGGAAGGCATGAGCGTTGTAGTAGTCCTCAGGAACTTGCATCGCTTTATAACCTTCTTCCTCTCTGACAGATGTAATCTGGATGTGGAAAACACCACTGTTAAACGCCTTGTTATGAACCACGTTTCCCTCGGCAGTATCTCCAGGAAAATCGCAATTGTTAAGAGACCGAAGTCTCTAGTAACGTACAACGCTAATACGATGACTGGTAAATTCATAATTCATAAAATCACAGCTCGATGTACAAATTATTCCCCGACGAAACTCGCACAAAAGGCAGACAGTGAGCTTAAGTGAAAACATTCATATTAACTAAACATCATGATTAGGTTATAATAATAATACAAAAACATGATAAACACTCGTACCTGATCAAGGTCAAAATTGAGGCCCAGCTTTTTGAAGCTACTAATAACGGCCTTGGCTGTGCCTGATGTGTCCAGTTTCGTAGACTGATGGGATTCTGTTACCTGCAATTTGGATGTGTCACTTTCAATGTGCATCTAGTCGCTGATCCCGACACATAATTAAAATTCACAGCATGCCTAGCTCCATACATGTGTGATCAGACGCTAGAGACAATCTGGGCAACTTATGCATACCTTTAATTTGTAACCAGAAAATGCTCCCGGAAACTGTTCGGCCATGATCTCCATGGCAGCTTGGAACGCAACAACCTACTGGAGCACTGTGAGTAAGTCCTTACAAGCTGTTTGGTCTGGAGAGATACAGACGGCCGCTTCCACTTAAGGTACAATCAAAACATGCTACACAAGATAGATTTGCAGCTCAATTGTCGTGTCAAAGGCCTAGTAGGCGTCCACACCTGCTTCCCCATCTGTGGCGCTATGACGGCGCATATTTTAGAGTCATTAACTATTCTCATAAGCTTCTCTCTGTCACCACCGGTAGTACCCATGACGAAAGGGACGCCAGCGGAGCAGTACAAACTCGCATTTCCTGTGGAACAAAAGCCAGGAAGAGCTAAATATTGAGCGTATAAAAATTAAAACCTGGCAGTAATGTTTCACTCCTGCAGTGGTGAAGAGAAAAGCTTAGATATTGATACAATCTTCAACGCCGGATAACGTTAAAGGTAAGCCTGAATAGGAAGAAACCCATATTTACACGGTGCAATTTAAAATCTAAGGGCCATGGCGATGAGTAATGTTCCCACGACTGCTCGATACGACATTTCGAACATTTCCAGGGATTGCTTCGGACCGTGACGCCGTGCAATTGTTTGGTTAGAGAACTAGAATGAAAAAGGGTCACACGATCCTCACCAATGACTGCAGCAGGAACCGTGTAGTCAATTACCACCGCTCGTCTAGACACTTGTTTGCATAGATCCATTGCTAGCTCTCGTTGTCCAAAACCATAAACCTCTACTTCGACACCCTCTACGTCTATTTTAGATAAGGGCCCCTGGTCTGGACCCATTCGTCCTGTGAAACTGTAAGGAACGAGCTGGAGACCAGCCTCAAGCGCTGCCTTGGCTGTCTCAAGGCCCATTTTTCCCGAGAGGCCATTGACCTGAATAGGCAAGAAGAGGTATGTCAGTATGTTTCTTACACAAACGAACGAAGGGACAAGAACCTTGCAAATGTCTGATAATCTCAAGGCTCTTTGGGAGGCATTTGTGACTCCGACTGCAATGGCTGGTGTGAAAGTCTGGTACATTATACTTTTCTCCAAAGACTGGCGTCACAGTCAAAAAGTCAAGTGACTGAAATAGAAAGCACCCATCATTCGACCGAATCTCGTCAAAAGCTTCCAGATGAGGGCTGTGCGTAAAAATCATCACTTGAACAATCTACAAATATCTGGATGCAGGGGACTAGAAGATGGATACGATCGTACCATAACCCAGCCGGGCTCGCCCGTGGAGGATTCTGTTTCACCCATGGCGCTAGCTCGAATCTGAGGGTGTCGGCTCACCGTGACATTGTGGCTGTACCTCGGGACGAATGAACTCCAGACACGGGAAGTCGACTTCAGAGCGACAAAGCTCCGCTCCGAACAGGCTACATTCTTGCGAACAGAACTCGGGGCAAAGTCCTGTGAGGAACAAGAGCACACAGGGGACGCACTCCGCAGCGCCTGCATTGTGCTTCGACGAGAACCGAGAGTCTGATGTCTGATGGCATGAGTCGTTGCGCTGACGAGAAATCGCCGATTTGAACTTCCGGCTGACGAGGGCCTGGCTCCACGCTCCACGCTCCACCGGCTACTCCCGAAGCATTTGTCCTCAGCAGGCAAAAGCAGCCGTAGGGCAAGCAAGCGCGCATCAACAGAATTAGCCCGCCAACGTGTGCATATTCATTTATCGAGTTCTATCTGGCATTTATGTAATTTCGCCATTCATGAGAACATATCTCTCCCCATCTACTTTACGCTGGGGGTCATTGGGCGATCACCCAATCACCCAAATGTAATATCCCCCGGAAGAGGTTCATCTCTCCAATACGTGATAAAACTCAAAGTTCATAACACTATTCCTCATAAGATAGTAATATTTAAGTGATCCCAAATATTTGGCTTTTACTGTAATATTCACTACTTGCTTCAACAAGATCCCCATTACAAAAACGTCATCAACGTGCATTTTTGTAAAATGTTTTAGGTGGACTGATTTTACAGTCCAAACATGATACTCCTTGCCACCGAGATGAAGATAGATTTCCTTTGCATATCCATATTTTAAGATTTTGTCTATGTTCATCATCCAATAATCATTACAAATATACGTAAGATTGTAGTTTCTTATCATCTATAACAAATCGTTGCAACTCAATGTTGAATGCGGTGTTGTAAGGTGTTTGACAATATTATCTCTAGTGGTATCTTTCTTATGTAGCACAACAGGTGGTATATAAATTCAATAAAATGTCACAAATTCAACATGAGTTTCTATTTATTCTAGTTGAGTTAGCATAAAACTTTATAAACTCAATGAGTAAAATAGTTTCATTTTATGACTATGGACTAAGTTGGTTTGATGATTTTGATCAAATATTTTTCAATAAATTTTTATTCATTAATCTTGCCACATACAAACTTACAGTTTATTACTTATTTATATCTCATATTATATCTCTTCGGAAGCTGGTAAATAGGTTTAAAGGCAACATCGTCAGCATCAATGTTAAGGGCAAACGCACCGTGAAACAGGATTTGGACAAGGTTTTTTGGAATTGAAATTAAATATTGTCTCTAGGTATTTTAATTTTAATTTTTGTACATTTATATACATTGAAATTTCAAATTTTTCGAAAATTAGTTAGATTATGTATGGTGTGTGTTATTTTGGGAAAATCATGGTGTGTAAATTGTCAAGTTTTAATTCAAAACCGACTCAACGTATTCATATTGTATGTATATTTTGTTGAGCTTTATCTAAAATATTATCATAAATATGTGAAATAAAAGATAAAAAATATACATAAATGAACATGTTCATGAAATATCTCATCAAGTTGAACTGATTAACAAAACAAGGCCAGACATATGTCTCATGAAAATTATCTAATAATAATAATGATTTATTTGAATGTCTTGAAATAAATTATTGCAAACTTCATTTTTTTAAATATTCATTTGGATTTTATTATCATCAATATACCTCGCCGTGCTCATAATCAGAAAAAAAGGACCACAAAATTATGGTGTTAGAGGTGATATATTCTTGTTGGGCTGCGAAGATGTGTCCGTAATCCTTTCCAAAAGAACAAGGAGACAGTTTCTTGAGCGATAATCGGCTTGGGTTTGGAGCGAAAATCGAGAGACGTTAGTGCCTTCCGAGGGTAGTACAGAGCATGCCCTTCAGAGTCGTGGTTGTGAGCTTGAATCTTCGGATCTGAATAGCCCTTCGAAACACATGATATGAGAGTGTACGTTCACATTGGAGCACTATGCAGGTCTTGAGGAGAGATTTACCTGCACGCTGTGTGAAGAGTGTGTTGCCAATCGATTTCGTTCCAAAACCCAGTCCCCAGCTTTGGATCTCATTCGTTCAGAGAACCATCAGCAATGTCACAGTGAGAAGGAATCCTCAGAATCAAGCCAGTCTCACGGATGCAAATCGATCGACAAAGGACGAGCCCTGCTCGGCCTATAGTTCTCTTGACCACCTCCATCGTTTACAATCTGTCAACAATTCGGTGATGCCCACACAATTGTCAGGATCTAGGTTTGAACCATTTTTCCCGTTCCAAAAGAGCTCAAACTTTTGTTCGTTCTGTTGGTTCTTGCAGATTTCTTGCCCTGGAGTTTTCAACCTTGTTAAAAGCCTTCCGTTCGCAGTGTTGTATAAATTCAGCTAGTTGTCGAATTGGATTGTGTTGCGTTGATTGGAGCCCATGTCTGCTTCAATATATTGTGACGCCTCCCATAAGCTTTTGTGCATTTTCGCAGGAGGTTTAGCAGCATATACGAAGATTTTGATGTTTTTTCTGGAGCCAAAACAGGGCGCGTGCTTATAGACGGGTATTATTAACGCCAGAGTCTGTGCTTTTGAGCTTCATATGCAATTGTACTATGCTTCAATGGACAGATCCATCTCACAAACTTGTGTCTCCCCGATTAGCGTCTATTTACGTAGAGCAGATTGAGAATTTGGGTTTGTTTCATTCTGAGTCCTTGAACATGTATGTTGCTGCAGCTATGATGATACAGGGTTCATTTTGAATGGTGTAAGGCATGAAGGGTCCCTTATTTGTCTGGGTAAACTTGTTTTTAAATGGACACCAAGGAAACCATCTGAGATTACTCCGGAGAGGTATTGTTGGGCCTTCGTTTTTTCAATCAAATCGAGAATGGAAAGATGTGCATGTGACGTCCTTTGTTTCACTGATGACATCTCACCTCGCGACATGTTTTCTGGTATTTTAAACTTGTATCTCGTCATTGTTGTTGTACTAATGGATTTTGCCATTGTTTGATAGTTTATCGCTTTTCGAACTTCTTCGACCACCTCCTGGTATGTGTATCTTTCCTTGACCTGAAGAATGACAGAATTTTGAAGGAGAATGATGATGAATCTCGATTTGCTGGTGCTTTTATGTTAATAGATAGTAATTATTATACTGCTTTGTATATCAGAGCTTCTCATCTTAGGCAACGGCAAGAGAATAACACCCGCACGACCTGAAGTACGAGCATATCTCAAAAAAAACGGCATAAAGCTGGAAGCGATCGATACGGTACAGTCATAGGCTGCACATCTCCTTTATAGCTGAATTCTGGATCCCTTGCAAGGCGTTGTTATTTGTCTTTATCACGGTTGATGTTTGCGATCCCTTTGAAGGCAACTCTTTTCTGGTCGCTTGAGTATGTAGGTCAGTTGTTCCAGGCTTCTGCATTGTGGCAGACATGTGTATGTTTTTTAACTTTTGTTTTACAATCGTCGTGAAGGAGTTGTTTCTAAATTTTGACATCCCTTTTGTTGCCTTCTTTACAGAAAAATGCGGCTTCTACTTTCAATTTTCTCAATGAAGAGGGTCGACAAGTAGCAGTTGCGATGCTGTCTCAAAATAGTACTGATAATTCTTAAAGTTGCAGACTTTAACCGATCATTGCTATTGGATCATCTGTTGCAACTGCCACTACTGTACATACATCTCCATATATGGTTTAAAATTTGCAACATGCTTTCTAAAATTGTAACACACGACAATGTTGAATGATCGCAAGTCAAATCTCGCTGTGCTGTTGATGGACAATCTTTTATGCAGCTTCAACGCATAGAACTCTTGTAGGATCATGATAGCATTTTGGCTGACTCATAGCTTCCAAATACTTTTAACGATGTCTTCCCTTTTTAATAGGTAAACTCCGTAGTTTCAAAACATTTTTCAATTTTAGACAGCATTTGCTCAATGCTTTGGAGCTTTCCACTCTCTTTTCAGTTCAAATCAACTTCACATACGAGATACTGTTTCAAGTCCCGCATTGCTACTCTACAAACAAAAGTGGAGACTTTTGGAATTTAGTAAATATCCTGCACATCATCAAATCGCTGATTGCTAGAGAAAGATGCTGGATGCTGTAGCATAAGAATTAATTATTCCGCCGAGTATATGGCAAGCACTTCAGGAGTCAGTTATGAGTATCGACCAATTTTACAATCCTTGCCACATTGACGATAAGTGGTACTTCCGCTTGTCTTTCCCACGAGTTTCGAAAGATTGGCGGACATTGATCTGTGGCTTGGAGCGAAATAAAAGAGGTATTATAATTACTGTCCCACTCTGAAGGCAAATCTGTGTCGAAATGATACCGGCTCTTACCCATGTTTTTGACTGTTGAGGCCGGGATTTGGCTCACGTCTATAGACCTCTCAGAAAAAAACCATTACAATTTAAATTGGTACAAGACATGTGAGTGGGACATGGTAATGCTCCAATAATTTGCTCCTGTTTATTGCTTAATTCTAGGTACGAAATGGTGCAAAAATGTGAGACAAGTAGCAAGCAAGCCAACGGCCCGAAATATGTATTTTGTGGTTTGAAGTTTGATGACGCTTCCTGCGCCGCATGAGAAATAGGCTACCAACAAAACCTTGGTAACCACACATGCTCAACTTTTATTTGGAACCCCAAATGGCAACTGACGTGAATCACATCAAGATCAAATTATCTTCAGTATAATACCGACACTTTTACACAATTGTCAAGGAAGTGTGCATAAGCCTCGCCAATCCTTCAAATCTACTGACATGACCAAGACTCTTGACGGGAGACTGCAACTTACACAACATTCCATGGCAAACTTCCTCTTCAAATACTCCCCTCTATCATCTACTTGATAACGTAGCTACGTTAACATTCCTACTACGTGTCTACTCGAGTGTCTACCTGTTAGTTCCAGAAAATTTGGTAGATTCGGCGCCTCACTCCGGTGGTAGCAGGCCAGCGACACCTACTAAAACCATTTCATGACAAGCCCCACCTGTAGCGCACTTCTACCAAGCCACCTAGTGTCCCACGGCTGCTATCCGCCATCGTTCAGGATACAACAAAATGGAGAAAGCACAGTAGAGGCTACCATTTGTCTACCCTCCATACCAATCCTATGAGGCTACTACTCTATACATGGACCAGCTCTTCCCGATCTTACGAAGGCTCAGCCAGCATCCGTAAGATCTTGCACTGCAGCGTTGGGTGGTGGGTGGGGAGAGGCATCACCTGCAGCATCACTCCCTCTTATGCTTAAAATTATGTGAAGCTTTAGAGGCGGAAAACTTTGTTCCAAGTCGTGAGGAAGATGGGCACTGTCGTCCTAGAGCTCTCTGTCTCTCTCTTAAAGGGATTGCAGGAAGAAATTTGTTAAGACCCCTAGTGCAATCACATCAAGGCACATCCTTCGTTGAAGGACCACCAAAGTACGACAAGCTGCACTGCACAGGCTCTTTCACTCAACGCGGCGCAGCTAATGCGCAAGAACTGTTGGAGCCGATTCAGCGTCTGGAGTGGCATGTGTTCCGTTCGTGGTAGGACTTCCATTCGTATGAGAATCAGGCTTCATCGTTAACGGATCTGACGACCAGTAACGTGACGTCTTCAGATCGTCTTCCTTCATCTGATTACCGTACTCGACACAATCAAAAGTGCTGGTGCTGCGACCGCCGAATGAAGCTTCCAATTTGTCCATGTCGAAAAGGTCTTGAAATATCTTTGAGCTGTCTGCGCTTTTGCTGTAAACAAACTTGACTTTGCGGAAAGTCTTGGGGTCCAAAAACGGTTTGACGATCTACACCAATTTGCACCAATCATTGTCAATCATTCCGTTACGTGATGAACCCAACTGCCTCAAGGTGCTGCTTTGAGTACAAAAGGCCACCCTAGCACAGGCCTTCACTTGCTCTGGCTTCCTTCTAGTCGAAACAAGCGACTCGAGAGTAGCAACACATTCAAAACCACAGTGCGAATATAATGCCTTCTCGGGGCACGAAGAAAACAAGTGGACGATGTCATGTTTCTGACTTGACACTACATAGACATGCTCGTATGATGTATGTGGTACCTTGACGAGAGAAACAAAGAGTAGGAGCTGATACTTACAGCCCAGAAGGTTTCGAACAACTTCGGCGGATCGTAAAGAATGGCAAGACTTAATCTCTCGGGATACATGGTCTGCAATATGTACGCAGTCTCCCTAGCTGTTGCTATAGGTACGGCTTTCCGCATCGACCACCCTTTGAAGTCGATCAACCATACCATCTGCTCTTGATCAGAAGGTAAATTGATGATTGCATTCTCGATGGTGTAGACTAGTTGCTTGATTTGTCCATTGTGATCTGTGGTATTCTGTAACAAGAGTTGCAAAGATTAAAACTCGTACCAAGCTATACAGAAACGTGTGCATATGACAACATCATGTACCATACGGAGAACATTTCTTCGCCACAAAAGACTAGGGTATGAGGCGTAAAACTGAACTTTCACATTTATATTACTACCCCGAAGTAATACCCAATTTCATCGTTGCACACCAAAGATGAGAACTGGGCGTTGGGTAGAAAAACTGGCATTTGAACAAACCACAACAATCAGGCAATTTCAAGAGGAAATTTTGCATGCACAAAATCAAGTCGATCATGATCGCACCTGGTTGCCAGGTCGCATCACGAGTACAGACCTGCCTAACTTATCTACAAAATTTGCTCTGTAAACCTTGCCCGTTTCGGCCTCCTTTGAGACTTCCTCCTGCAGGAGAGAATACCATACCAGTCTTAATAATCCACAACGTTCAAAATCTATTTTCGGATAATTTCGACAGAATACACCTGTCAAGCTGGGCACGAATCATTTCGTGAATGATTCAAAATAAATTCGGAGACACTAACATGAGGCAGCAAGTTAAACACATCAGCTTCACCACGATGTTATACAGTTAACCTTTAGAATTTTCCCTCATTAGATAGCTTTAGACCACTCGCTTTAGACCATCCCCAAGGCTGTCTCATTTCCACATTTCTCACTCTTCAGTCAACTTGAACATGTAAATGGACGATAAGGAAATGACACTCAAGTTGTTCATGTTGTTCGTGTTATGTGACACTAGTATCAGAATTATCTAAGCTGATTCTAGAATTACAATCGCAGAATACTTAAAGCATGCAAAATTTACCCAGCGAACTTCTTCTGGTTTGTATGATGCTCTCCACTTGATTGCCTCTTTTAACATCTTGTCGGCCTTCTTGACATGCCAACTACGGGCTCGCAGATAACGAGCAAGGCAATCGTCCGTGCAGAATAGTAAACTTCGACCTGACAATGGACCCAACAAAGTGCGCAATTCTTTCACCTGAAACCGTCCACGTAGATTTCAAAGTACATTAATCACCGTTGTCATCTTCGGTGTTATTGTTGAAATACTTGAACAAAATCTACATGTGCATGTGTAATACCCATGCACCCATCTTCCATACCCATTGGGTACGGCAGATGGATCCTATGGAAGCATATCAGGCTTTACTTGCTAAAAGCCAATCAATACGACACGAAGTATTTTAGTGACAACGTACCTTTGCCTGCTCCTCGGCAGGTGTCATAGATTCTTCGTTACCCTTTGTTCCATTCTTTTTGGCGGACATTGTATCCCGTAATATGGTGACAATTTGAGATCAGAACGCTAGTGTGAAGACAATAGGTCCACCCTGTTCAGAATGCACAAACGTTCATTAACTCTAAACTCTTTCTGTGGAAATACGATAATTCCAGAGTTCTGATTTATCCAAAAATAAAAATTCAAACCAGCAGAATCATGAAGCAATTGCTACAAGTCGATAAAGGTGACATGCCGAACTGACTTTAGACATGATGCCAATGACGATGTAACACGATCATGGAGTGACGAATCTAGTAAACAGTCCGTGGCATAGAGTACATATGTGTTTCCGCTGAAAAATTAGCAGGCTTTTGTTAAGCATCCGACACAGATTTAAGAAATCGCAAATCAATAATCCACACTCACGTCTTCGACGCTTGCTCCTCAGTAAGCATTCCCGAAATGGTAAGGTGGAGTTGCTGAACACGCTTCTAATTCAAATCACTAATTTTTGAGAACTAATAACCACGGACATCACCCCGCTACGCGAAATCTGCCCATAGTGGAAATAATGAAGTTTACGCGATGTTACCGAGGCCGACGTAGTAGTCAACCCATACGTTCCACGCAAGTACCATACACAGAAGGAGGGCTCATGATGCAGATCACATTGTTAGAGGAATTAGGATGAAAGATGACATCCACGGCAGAGAGGCATGAGTCAGCCACAGACTCAAACGAGCTCGTGTATCTTCCCTGTCCAACAATTCGGGAATGTGGTGAGGTGGTCACATGCATCACACCCTAGTGACTGAAGAGGTATCGCGGAATTTGCGATAGCTTTCCTTGTATACTCGTGTAACAAATCCTCTGGATGCTACCCTCGATTGTGCGAAAGGCAAAGACAGAGCGGAAAATAAATGTATCCATCAAGCGCGTAGACAAGGCGAACTACAATTCTCAAGAACTGATCCACGCCACAAAGACTACATGTTCGGCCTAGAAGCACCGCACTTTCTGGAATCATAAATATTCCACATTGCACGAAGCAGCGCAAGGCGAATAGATGAACTTACGACATTCCGGGGAGGGCTTGGGGAGGGCTTGAGACCTTCGATTTGAGACAAAGATAGGCAAGGAAAAGATGCAAAATTCCACATGTAGAAGGCATAGAGCCTTTTTAATGACGAAGTAGAAACTTACGGGTAGAAACTTACGGGAGCTAACCTTGACAAATCATGCACTCGAATCTCAGCCGTGGGGGCATCTATCTGCTAGTCAGTTGAAGAAGGTGTGCCGCGGCATTCCAGGTTCCAAATCCTCAGCGTTAGCCACGTGACATGAGGCGACTTGAAAGATCATGATGCAGACTACTTCTCGGTCACAACCATCACTTTAAACCACCCACGCGGGACAATGCTCGACAGAACTCGAGAAAAAGCACGAGGAGATCTTAAATTGTGCATGAGGACTCGACTGTCGGTAGAACGCAGTACAAGGAAGACTCATGAAGAGGAGAGTAAGCACCTTATCAACAACCAGCGAAAGGCGCAGAGACGATCGCAACAGCATGCACAGCCTCACCAGTCGTGCATCCGTCTCTAATAACTGGCCTGCGTCTGCACCTGCAGGACTGTAGACCAATTGAGCACGACCTGGGACGAATTGCTCTCAGAAGTTCCAAGATCTCTAGCAACAACTCCAACAGAATGCACTAGGAACCGGCTTCGTCCGACCCATAAACTGAACTAATGCAAAGAAATGCTTTCACTGCCTGCCCCCACTCCGACAACAGATTCGATATCTACCTCTCGCCCTCCACTCTAATCTACTCAGCCAACTTTCCTATCGATCCGCAAAATTATAACACCGGCCGGATCCACCGCCCTATAAATGTCTAAACGTGCAGCTCCAATCTTGACAAACGCTGCACTTAAATCCCTGTCCCACTTGGAAAATCCCTGCACATCGGTCTCCCACCAGCCCCTTGGCACTTAGACTCGTCCGTCGCCCTCCTCACTCGCTCCGTGCTTCCGCGCTCGCCTCGGGGCTCGTCGTCGACCTATAGACGCGAGTCCAGAGTGCAGAGTCCACACCACAAGATTCGGCCTCGCGGAGGCTGCGACTGCCCGCTGCTGCGAACGAGCTCGAGCGAAGGTTTTCTGCCAGTGGATCCTGCGTATTAGAGCGCAAACGCTCGCAATGATTAGAGTTATGGCCCAAATTAGTCAAATTAGGATTACTGCGACTGTGCGCCTCGGCGTCAACCGCGGCCGGCAATAATGCACACTTGGCCATCCCGGAGTTCGTACCGTGGTTCGCCGCTCCGGACCGCCCGTTCTTACGTCGCCATTATTCGTTTTGTCGGCAATGAGTGCCGCTGCCGTCTTTTCTTTATTGGGCAACATTGCGTTCCGCCCTGGCCCCTGGCGCGCGCGGTGTGTTCTCGCAGTGCGAACCAACCATCGTCCGCCCGCCCGGTGATATTTGGCGTGCGTCTTCCCCATACACTAGTGCCCTCCATGTGATTCAACGAATAGTGCACAGTGGCCTTCTGTTCATGTATGCCCTGATTGGAGCTCGGAGCATTGTTCCATCTCTCTGAAATCGCAGTACTTATGTTCCGGGAATGATTTCGCCCTTCAATGCCCATTGGGCCCATTGGTGATTTTTTTCCAGTACAGTAACCCAAAGTCATAACAATGCTCTTCGAACGAGTATCTCCCTTGGCCGAGCCAGAGATCATTTACTTTCATTAAGTTTCAGTGGGGAAGGCATGCACTGATTTACTCCGTGACGTCCCAACTCCACGCCTCTCGAATGGAATTCAGAAAGAATACATGGTCTTATCAAAATCATCTCGAGATTCAGGACATATTACTACGTAATATAATAGATTGACACACCTACGATGCAGTCAGGGTCAGGTCAATAGTCGATTGCAGTCAATATCTAGAATGGTTTTCCACTTAAGACACCATGTCAAATATCGTATATTAGTGAATCCATTGAAAAACTTATTAGTTGTCTTATGTAATTATTTAATTTGGCGTACTCCCAATCCAAATATTGTGTGGATTGCTCAGTCTCAAACAGCTTATCATCAATCACGTTGGTTGCTCATAATAATTCCATACTATAAGCCTGTTATACTTACATGATCTGAGTGAATTCCTGTGGTGCAGTGGCGGACAATTTTGTTAAAATGTAATGCTCCACTCGAAATAAAGATATCAAAATTAGCCCAACCTCACGAGCAACCAGTGTCCACCGAGTTTTTCTTGTTCAGTTATCTCCTCTGTCCAAGCATAATTACCTTGCAAGATATATATCTGCTTCCATAGACAACTCTCCTATGCCAGATGACATGTGGATATTTTTATTAATTTTTTATTAATTTTCTATGAGATCGATCATCCTACAGTGAGGACAGAGATATTAACCCTTTTCCAGATTTCTTGGATGGTTATGAAGGATTTTGAAAGTCACTATATTCTACCCGTAGGGAAATCATGCCCATTTGTGAGCACGTTCGTATGCATATGCTAGTACACAGTGCTGCTTATATGATTGTTATTTAGAAATACGCAAGCTGTGGATTCATCTTGGTCCTATAAGTCAGGGTCGAAGGTGCAGAAATGACACGAAGGCTACTGGTTGTCGGAGCTCCGAGTTGCCCAAGATTCAGTTCAAAACAACACGCCATTCTCAACATAACTCGACAGTCATGACCTCCACAGAAAATGATATACCCCTTGTAATGACCCGATAAACACAAGGTAGAGGGCCTTCCCGTGCACAAGAAGGTCTCAACTCTCATGCGCAAGACATAGCTGAAGAATCCTCCCATTGAAAAGAAAGCAAAACACGTGACGTTATGACTTGAAGCACAAAGCCTCAAATACAAAGCCGACGAAGTCTATCGGCTGACATAAATGGGTTCCAGTACTCTTTATGGTGCACCTCGGAAATTGTGACACACATAAAGCTTCACATGTTCGAAAGAACTGGAGGTAACAAATCCATTGCGTTTTCTATCTTATCTTTCAACGCCCCATGCCGTGAAAGGATTCCTTTCCTACTGAAGTCACTATACTAAAAGCAAGTCTATAATCATGAAGTCCTAGCCAGGATTGTGGCCACTCATGTTTGGAGGTACCCTTATAAAACTGGCACGTCCGATTTCAAGTCAATCTCTCATGGGTACTGGAGCTGTAGTGTGAATACAAATTTGACTTTATCAACTGGTCACGAAACGCCCACTAGATTTCATGGTCAAGAAACCTCCGAGTATCTGTCTTCACTAAATCTCATCCTTGTGTAGTATGGACTGGTCTAGTTTGTGCTTGTTCTGAGAATTCTCCATCATTCATCGCTAATTTTAGCTCACTGAAGTTAGACTACTTTAGCCAGCTTGTTGAATATAGAGTTCCAATCTGATCCCTAAAGTCCCATATCAAGATCGCACGAGTTTATAGACACTTCTTGAATTTTTCAGCCACAGTTAGACTTATAAAATGAGTGTATTCTGCCATATAGCAGCATACAAGAATTTTGATCCAATTCAAAAGTATAGCGGCTACTATTGGCACTGATCAAAAGGCCACCAATGTTCGTGTTTGGCACGCTATCCTGAGCGTCAGTTCTGTAGAAACTTTATTTCGTGAGTTATTTTACAAAGCTTTTTAATGAAAACGATATCATCACAACTCCTACCCGCGTCTTGCAATGAAGTGCAAAGTCGAGATGCTCTTCGTAAAGTCACTCCAGAAGTATCAAAGCCCCTTTAACCTCGTCTCATGAGCACATTGCCCGCAGTAGCAGGGATCGGGTAAGATTCAGATGAGCTGCAATTGGATGTTCAATTCTTCTTTCTCGGTAGCTTCATAGCAATCCGTCATTCCTCATCATTTTGCGTTTCGATATTTCCGACAAGTATTTCTCCAACTTGATCTTCCCTTTGAGAGATTAGAAACCGTGATGAAGTTGGAGTAGATCTTATGTCTGGTGCAACATGAGAGACTCCTTCTAGAGAAGCCTGCCTTTTTGCAGTTTACCTCGAGCCTTAATATGTACATTCGCCAATCCATCAAATTACATATTGTAAAACAATCGTTCGTTTGTGCTTTCAGTTAAGAGCTTGAAAGAAGAATTAATTAGCATTTGCTATATATTTTCAATTTTGAGAATTGAATGATGTGAAACAGAAAAATGTATAGAACGATCATTGATAACCATGCCTAAATTCATGAATTTACTTTTTTCCTGAAAATAACACTATGAAAAATTGTGGATAGATCTCGATAGGACTAAGAAAACCGAAACCAAATTTGACTGTAAAATCTAATTCAATCTCAAGTAAGAACTCAGTACTCAGCACAATTGGGGTGAAGAGTTCAATATACGTTTCTAAAAATAAGTTTCTAATTTATTCAATATTTAAATTTGAAAAAATTTTAGCCAAGCAAAAACAAATTTAAACACAAAATCTAACAGTAATAATAGTTTGTAGCCACAATAATATTTTAACTTTTGATTTGAAACATTATTAATGAATCTGTTACTTTTCAAATATAGGTTCCTGACCGCAAAAATTCTTACATTGTGGTACAATTTATAATGATTAGTTTCGTGTGCACATACTTACGCAATATCTCTTCACTAGAATATATTATCTTCCGAGAAAACGTTTCAGCATAAAAATGTGATGAATCAAAATAGCTAAGAAGATTGTAAATCTTTGACCTTATTAGATGATATAGCACAAATATTAATCTGAAATTTTATTTGAAGAAATAGCAGGCATATTTAAAAGCATGTTCATTGTGTATCATGTATAATGCCAAATTGTAAGTAGGTCTTTGATGGACTGCTTTATGAGTATAAATAGTGAGACACATCAATCAATATCTTAAAATATTTTCACACATAAACATAAGTTGGAAAGCAATTTCTTTTTGTAAACTCAACCACGGAGTCACTTGTCTATTAGGGACATTCATAACATTCCCTTAGCAAAATATGTATGAGTAACCAGAGAAATGTTAACGTTATCTAAAATATACACATTGTCGACTTCATGGGTTATTCAACGTTCCTAAATCGCTTTTGGTCAGTAATGACACCTTTGAGAAACAATTGTATCCCCTCCTCGTTTGGGAGTATTCCGAGAAAAACAAGAGGCTTTCTGGATTTAGCCATAAGGCTCATTATGGTCTGATTCACATCACCCATCAATAACATACGGGAACGGGCCTGGGTTACATGGGACTAGTTCAGTTCCTGTGCATTGATTTTATTGGATTTCTATTTAAACCCATATACTAATCTTGATAATCGCTGCATTCTAGCAATTCCGATCAGCCCTAGAACTTGACTGCAAAGAAGCAAATTGACTGCAAATTGACTGCAAATTGCGAGAGCTCCCCCTAGAGTCGCTTATGGGTCTGTATTCCATTCACGGGGAGAAATAGCCGTATAAATTGCACAGATCAAACGGGGCGTATCTCATAACAAAATCAAACAGTACAATGTCAGGAGACCTATCAAACAGCACAAGGAGTAAACCAAACGGCCTCAATCGAGAGAATGAAGTTTCGGAGTCAAAACGTAGTCATCCGCTTTGTTTCATTCTTGGAGCAACTAAACTCTTCCATTGACTTTTTCTATTCTAGAACAAGATAGACAGAAGATACTAATATAGATTGCAAATCAGAATCCAGTACAAGATTGCACAAACTTAGTCTTTACGAAGTTCAACGGCATTTTGGAAATGTGCAACCGGTTCTACTCCTCGTTGACTCTACGTCGGACAATCTTCGAATAACCAACTACTGAGTAGAGTCAATCGGCGAAGGCATCCGACCACGTAGAAGACAACCACCCGCACAGACATGGACTGCAGAGACGTGCCGCATGGTCGTTGGACAGAGTCGCCAGACACCACAGCCTGAAACCGTCCACTTTTGCCAAAGGAGAGGTCTGACCCTGACGACGATTCCATGGATGCCTGACAAAATCTAACTTTAGCTCATCATCCCATCCACGAATGCAGTAGCGATCTCGGACCCGACGAGTATAGTAACTTACCAGGTGTCGCCACCGCAGTCGTCAGACACCCCGTCTCGAGAGACCGGTACACAAGGGTCTGACTCCATCAACCCTTTGTCTTTGTCTGGAGCCCGGTAGCCAAGAGCGTTGAGGAGGATCCTTCGGATCGGAGGGTTGTCCGGTATATATATAGGCCTACATCACTGTCCCGTGAGATTCTTCGTGGGCTGCTTCCAGCGATTGGAGATTGAACGACTGCATCCTCTTCTAGAAGCGCAGCGCCTGCCGTGTGCAGTATCCCCTCCACCATCTCTCTCCCGCTCTCCCTCTTCGGCTCCACCTTTTCATTTCTAGAAGCACGACTCCGGGAGGTGTTCCCCCCGCCACGCTGTACTCACTTTGCGTCCGCGCCAAATTTGGCGACAACGTTTGCGATATGGGCACTGGCTCCAACGAATCGTTTTCCTGTTGGAACGTGGTAGACGGGCCCGAGGCCTTTTGGAGTCCGAGAGGCATAACACAGTGTTGGCGCGCGTGTCAAGTCAAGGGCAGCAAGCATCCACGTGTCCGCATCGCAGTTTTCTAGTTTGCAAGCTCAAGGAGAGCACAGACGATTTGAAGGCTGCCACCTGTTTGTTCCGAACAGTTTAGGTTCTGAGCTGGTGGATATAGCAGTTGCCTAATGCTCAGCAGTCTACAAGTTTGATTCATATATTGAGAAACTGGATGGCGTGGAACTCCTCAATGGTTGAAGCTCTCGCATGCAGTGACCGATCCTAGTGGTAGAACTACATCCAAAAACATTCAAACGCCAGTCGTAAATTAGACAATAATCATATTAATGTGGTGTTTCCATATTCCAACGTTAGCCGTGCAATCATTCGGAGCTTTTGAATCTGGAAACATTCAGCCCTTACAAGCATTATGTCCTTTTGCACGGCTTTGTTTGGAAGCATCAGCACGCGATACATACCTGAGTTTACCCCGAGTGTGTCCAGCCCGAGACTCTGTCGGAATACTCGAACCTGAGATTAGTATACAGTACCAACGCTAAAGAGTAATGAACCAAACTGGAATCACCTGATTTGTTAAATATTGAGTTGGACTGCAAACAGTGATTCTTCCTTCAGTGAAACCTCCTCTCATTTGCTGTACCAGGTTAAATAGGTGCTATTATTTCCAGTTCGAATGTCTGAGTGAAATACTAAACTCAGCAGTGACAAGCTTGAAAAACTTTTTTAGTAACATGATTATGTCTTAGTAGATTGGACTAGAGATATCCTCTTTATAGGTCTCTTCGTGCACCACCACCATCTGCGCGCATGTGCACCAAAATTACTTTGTATCATCTTGCGATCTTACTTCCTCAGACGGGCTCAATCAGTCTTGATATAACTCCGCCTCCTTCCATTGCTCTGCACGGAATCTTTGCTGGTCGAAAGTTGCAGAACAAGTGATGCTTCCAGGGAAGCACGAACTGTTTATTTTTCGTCATGAACTGACATCTGCCAGGCAAATTTGCTGCCAAGTGATATTGGGATATCCTAGTCAGATCAAGTGTAATTTTGTCTCCCGAGTGCACTGTGAAGATAATATCATCTCATCTCCTACGTACCATGAGGATTCAGCGTACCTCGACCGTCAACTACTGCTGTTGTGATGACGAATTCATACTTCATCTTAACTCCTTGCTTTCACCAACTCTTCACCAAAATGCCTTATCAAGTTAGAGTATGTCGACGCTGATAATCAAGTACCGTCAGTGCGTTTGAAAGATCGGAGGATGGTGCAACCTCATCCGCTATGAGAGAACGCGTCACCATTTTCCGCAGGTCACGCGCAGATACCATCATAGCCGTACAACAATTGGGAATATCTGAATGTCGAACAGATTGTAGGAAATACAACGATGTATAATAAAGTTTTGTACACCACATGTACACGTAGGTAAGTCTGTCGAGTGAAAAATCACAGATCCAACTCCGTTGTCGAATATCACCATTCAGATTTCGAGTAGTAGAACCATTCATTTACTCCTTGAAACCAATTACCACTTTGTCCAAGAACGCTGTGAAATGTGAGCCAATTCACTGCTAACATCCTCCACATGCACTGCATTGCTTTGCCGAGTGCTTTATCTTTGCTCCAATTCAATCAGACAACATTCCTACTTTGAGAATGCTTGCACTCCTTCGGCGGTCGACCTTGTTATCAGAACGATCTGAAGACCTGAAGGTTGTCGAGATTGCCTGATCCATGCCTGCGAACGAATTATCCGATAAACCACCATCTACCGAGAACCAGGTGAAGTTATAGAGGCTAGGTCGATAACCTTCAAACTTCATCGGTATTTCTTAACGACTGCATTGGTGAATGTCGCAAAGGGTCAACCATACTTTAGACTACTCCAGTCTCGTCTCTTACCTGTTACCCCTTTTGTTTCTCTTCCTGTTCTGCTGCCGGTCCAGAAGCTCTTTCTTGGGTTTGCGTGGTTTTAAGACTCAGCTCAATCATGTGAAAAGGGCACTTGCTCGTCACTTACGAATACTGAGATAGGCGACACCAAAACAACAGGGGACTACTGTGACGACTGCCGGTGGATCATCATACGACGTCGTCAACACATCTATTCGGTTGCTCGTTGCAAGGTGACGTCGAGACGATTTCCTTCACACCCGCTTCGGACTTTTTGCTCACCAAAGTAAACAAAGTCTGAGCCGCAGATTCATATAATTCCAATGATCTTCGTACAGCTGGTCGTCATTAGTCTTCGTCACTATCACCATCCTTTGACTGATGAGTGATCTTCTGTGCACGATACATCTCAGCAACCTGTACATGTAATGTAATTGCACACGGTAAATTATCAGCAGTGTAATGCTGGGCTAGCTTTACTCAAAGATGGTAGCATACTTCCGTTGGATGATCTCCGGATCAGTTCGACGCTTACTTGTCCTGCTGAAGTTGCCTGTTCCGTTGTCTTGTCTTCACGAAGTCTTATCAGTCGAGGAAACCGTAAAGATATACCCTGGTGGGATCACACAGTTCGGTTGGGAAGAAAAACGGCAGACGTCAGACTTCGCCACTACATGTGCAGAGGCTACTGCCATATGAGATGGTGTACCACCTTGCAACCTCTTTGGGTACCTATTAAAAAATCAAACGAGCCTCAACTTTAAGAGAAAGGGTTCAAGAGCACCTTGACTGGGTCAACCAAACCATTCGCGGCCTTATGAACAGGGCTGATACTCAAGTCAGCCGCCTTCACTTCCCAGACCTACACAGTCAGACTGTTTGTTACGGAAGAAAACGGCTCATACAAGCACTCCATTTTATCCGTCTACTTACTGTATACAGTAGTAACCCAAGATGTTCAGACATGTGATCCACAGATCGGCAATGTGATTGACTTCATGGTAAACTAGCAGTTTTCGACGTATGAGAATAAAAACGTATCCTGACAAAACTTTGGTTTTGGAATCTCAATTACCTCCACGGGCTCGAACCACACATCCACACCCAAGGTATCGCCATATCGATAATAAGACTGACACAGTTGAGGAGATTAAATATGAAATCAGGCCTAAAAAACAAAATGCTCAACGTGTAAACTCGAGGACTGTACAGGACTTACATTACAAAGAAATTTCTCTAGCAATAGATGAATGTAAATGTTCGCAGTTTATTAAAGAACACGGCCAGCATATGCCATAGATCTACTACCGGAGGTTTGTCGACAATATGATTTCGGAGGGTGGAGGAGCGTTCTTCAAGAACCTGTTCTGAAAATCCAGTTCCTGGATTTTCAAAGGAAGAAACAAAAAACTTGAAAGGTCAGTAGCAAGTTCGATTTCGGATGTGAGCACTTGCGTCTCTTGAACAAAGACTTTAAACAGCAAACGTAGACATATATCTCAAGTGCAGGCTGTTGAGAACGTATTTCTCGTTTCTTTTCTCGTCCAACCACTTGGTACAAAGAAGAAAGCTAGTTAGGAGTTAGAGCGAAAGCGTCATTCACAGATGAAGATAGTACATCATCAGCCGCAAGGGCTTAGCATGTAAGAGACCGAAGCAACGCAAATCTAGGTGTTTTTTTTTTAAAGCCACCAATAAAATACACTAGATAGAAGTAACAAGATGGCATTGATGGTAAAAGTGGGACGTGTAATGCATGAACTAAAGCTGTAAGATAAGGACAGACAAACAGACGCATCAGTAAGTAAACCGAGAAGCAGTACAGCGGTGGAACAAATGGAGGACACCAGCTATCGAGTTGACAGTGGTCGGAAGTAAATGTGCAGTGTAGAAGATCCAATTCAAAGGAAGAAAGTTCTCCCGTGACCATCAACAACTTTGAACGGGAAGGGTCACATTCCCATCACTTAGGTTCGGCTGCTTCATCAGTGGATACCGAGGTGTATAGGTTTCTACGACCTCGTCAGGATGTCAAAGGACAGCAAGATCAATCCTAGAGAAGTGGAGGAGAACAACAACAATTACATATAAATGTAGACTTAAGCAATTACTGCAAATTACACACGACCAATAAAAACTGTAACCTGATGTGCTTCTTTAATTTACAGAAGGTTTCTAATATTGTCGCGATAAAAAAAACCTATGTATGCGCGTTCGTCCTATATATTGAGGTGCACTCTCTGCACTCTTGAAAGATAAGGTGGTGCGTGATTGACCTTTTCTTCCCAGTAAACTACTCTGAATCGCACGTGCAATCTAAGATATTCATCACCGTAGGTTGAGCATACCAATTTTGCAGATGCTCTGATATTCTTCGGAGTCTTCATCGTAACAAGCAAGAAGAAAAGCTCCATATACACCTAAAACAAACATAGAGATTAGCTGTATGTATTTGTGGACGTTCGGTCGTTACAGGGGGGAAAAAACTTTCCTAACCATCAGTTGATTATCACGGTCATAAACGGTCCGCAGTAATGAGATTGTGAAAGATCTTAAACCATACTTCAATACTTACTTTACTTGAAGTAATAACCATCTGCTTAGCACATGATTTAAGTCTGGAACATCTACAATGAAGTGAAGAGTTTCAAGTAGACCGGAGACCTACCGGTACGCTTGCCTCGACCAAAATAACCTCCGATAGGCACAAGATCAAGTGAATCTCCAACGCTGCAGGCAGAGCCTGAAGTCAAATTCATACTTAAAACAAGTTTACTACTCATGCACTAACATGGAGTTATTTGAGTTTACTACGTCATGTCTCCAGAATATTTAGCAGAACAGCGAGTATCATGCTGAGAAAGATAGATCGTCGGCAGTATAAGACGAGACATTTTATTAGCTCCTCATGCAACATTCTAGACTGTAAATTTGAACTCAATCGTGAACTCAACCTTCATAAAATACGTACCTGTCCATGTAATCTTTCTTCAACTTCAACCAATTATTGGACCTCTTAGCAGGTTCGTATGTGGCATCCGTTTTCAGCGTCTTCACAATCAATCCCTCACAACTGCTCAATCATAAACAAATAGGTCCTCAGATATGTCATACGTTCACCATGTTGATAAGACACAGCCAGACAGACTCGACCCAACAAAAAAGACATGCATTGTTGAGAACTTTTTAATCCACAGAGTTCTGTGGAGACTCCTTGAAGCGGTGATTTCTAACAAAGTGTATTCAGACCCATCTAATGTTAAAGTAACGGCTAACAGAAAGACACCTGACGGTGCTTATCCAGAAGGACTACTTCCTGCTGCTTTTTACAGGGAAAAAGGCTCAGAAACTACAACAACGGCCCTAACTTTTGGCTGTAGCGACAAGAGATTTGCAAGCTATCTTGTATATACAACTATCAGGATCCAAAAGGTAAAGATCAGGCGTTCCGTTTCCAGCTTTAAGTATCCAAATCCAGCCACATTATCACAACCTGGAGCCGTAATAGGCTTCGGAACAGTATGAAAGCCAGCAGAGTTAAAGATAGTGTGTACATTGGAGCAGTATACAAGAGTAAACTTTGAAACATTACCAATCATTGATGGCAGCATCTAGGAACTTTTGCATCTCGTCAAGCTCGCGTGTATTTGTCGCAGTAGCGAATTCAAATTCTCCACTTGTCTCTAAGAACGATTTGTAGAGCTCCTGAGAGATAAAACAAGCAACAAGGAATAAGAAATCCTGAGACAAGGCAAATCTTCTGTGGGAACTTCACTGCGAACACGTACGTTCAGACCTTCACAACCCCAAGGACAGCAAAGAATTCGTCAAAATATTGGGGAGCTCATAAACCTATTCAAGTTTCAGCTATTTCTTCTCATGAATAAATCACGTACACAGTATTAGATTCATACTTCTGAATATAGGTTGGTTTAGAGAGAAAGGTCATACATTCAATTGGAACCGCTTCACTACTACTTCTACATGGTTGCGATGATCGTCACCTCTCGGCGTAAGGCAAGCTGTTCGTTGAGGAGATTTCGACCATTGATATATAAGAGGTCGAATGCAAATATGCAGACTTTCACTTTGATGTCGCTAATAATCACTCCTTTTCTAGCCCGAGTACTGAGAATCTGGAAAGCAGTTCGACGTCATTCCTCAGTTAAAACAGATCACAAAAAGGCATGGTTCGAAGCTATAAGTGGAATTTAAGTGGTACTTAATCAAAGGCAGAGGCTTAGACTTGCAACATAGGGAATTACTATGAACTTTATTTACTTCACATTACTTTCTTAAAATCGTTTGTCGTGGAGTAGTAACAAATAAGAAGACCAATTAGCTAAATGTCTGGTAACAAAGACGAAAATCTATGATTTCATCTTCGGAAGATCAGTAGGTATATGGATAATGCATGCGAGGACTTTCATCATCTTACTTTGCGAAGAAAAGGCCAGAGTCAGAATGTACAACATGTATCAGGACATGACTGGATGTGAACAATGTCAAAATTCTATAGCTCAAGCATAGAAGACTCAGGTAGTAACAAAGAAGTATAAAAGGGTCAGAGAGAACGAAGAATCACCTCAAAGCTTAGAACAAAAACTACAATTTAGTAGGTATTGGTCATACGTTATTTACATCATAAGCAGAAAAATGTGATAGCAAGAAAAGTCCTACAACCGGTCCGCAATGTTCAGCAGCAATATGTTGGAAAACTATGGACACCTAAAACCCAATACGTCGAAACATTCACGACGTCTCGGCGTGAGGTATCCTGAAACGAAACAAAAGTGAGGACATATATGTGAGGAACTCCGTCCTTACGATACCATTAGACAATAGTCAGCAGTCGGGATGTTACCTGGAAAGGAAGAATCTTGTTTTTCTCCGTGTCATAAGCCACTACTTCGCAGTCTAGTACAAATGATGCTGCCTCGGGTTTTTTGTACCTGCACAATGCGCGCGATGGTGGCTTCGGGCAATGAACCTTGTACGCAAACATCAAACAAGCGCTTCACACTCTCTCAAGCAGACTAGCAGTATGTTACAGGACAGCCTAAACGTTGGAGGTAGCCTTGCCTTCCAATGGCAGCAACGATATCCGGAAACTTTACTGTATTCCGTTCAGCATTTCGGCTATATATTTCAACAGATCCATTTTCGAGATAATGTATCTGCAAGACAAACCATTGACGCTCCAACAAATCAACATGTGATGATTGGCAAACTTCAAGTAGCTGTGTCATCAATGTGTGTGATTAATTCCAGATACGTATCAATTTAAGCTACGAATTTTGCAAACGTCCAAGCTCGGCAATACACTAGTACCCTCGAGAGAAATGGTCAGAACTATTTGAGCATAGACGATACAGAGTGTAAACCATGGCCTGATCAAATATGCTAATCATGAATCAGGCTTCGATATCAGCTCGTAGAACCTTAGTTGTACGGCAAGAAGCATTACCTGTGCTCGTTCCCCATCATACTTGTATTCACAGGTGAACTCCAGATCTTGGAATTTGTCCAACACCTCTGACACTCCCTTAGTTGGCTTAGCTAGCATCGGTCCGACAGGCACACCGGGCGTGAATGTACACGAGTCCGCAAGCTTTTCAATCCCCTGGGTTAGCAGGACTGGAATGATTTTCTCGAATACAGGTGAGACGGAATAGACCTGCTTCATTGTCTGTGCAGCCTGTCCGCCATCATGAAAGTGTGAGAGAATCAGTCAACTTCTATTCCACGGTGATTCCGGTTTCACAAAGCACCCAGAAAAAAGTAATATTGGATAAGATCGTCTTCATAATTCAGAAAGAATACTAATTCATACCGATCATGTGTTTATTTAAGAGCTGCACATTCAGTCAGACAAGCAATTGGAGAATAGTGACAGTTGTGCGAGGAAGACAAATTCCTTATACATAGTGATGAGGTTTCTGAGGTCGCCAGGAAGGTCCTTACAAGCTCTAGACGGTCTTGAAGCTTGGATGCTGGAACGGGAGGTTGTTCAGAAAGAACTGCAGCATGACCAAGGGCAACCAGTACCGTCGCCTCCTGTAAACCTATCCTCAACTTGCTCTGTGGTAACATAAAAATGAGCGAACGTTGTCTTAAAACCTGACGAAGGTAATCATAACCTGCTACTTTCCACGAAAATTTTTAACTGTTTTCTAACCATCGCTTTGCCTCCAACATCCTGTGACGTGACAGCGATGTATCAAGAAGTTTTTCAAACAGCTAGATAGACCCTCGGACCCCGCCTTAAAATATACAAAAATCCAACCCACTGGTTTCTACATCCAGAGGTAAGCACAACGAAATGTAGCCAGCCCTAAACTATAATTTGCTTAGGAGATTTTTCCACTATAATGAAGAATCGCTGTGCTTGATCAAAACATATTGAGATGACAATAAAACTGGAAGTTCAAATTCCATTCACTAAGAATGTGAAGCATGTACCTGGAGCAATCGGACAACATATAGAGGTTCGCAGTCTGTTGCAGCCACAAGAAGAGCTTTCATCTTCCCACGTTTTTTGTCCATACTTTGATTGCCTACTTCCTGTAATATTGTATCCCGTTCATGATAATGATAAGGTTAAATGTGCATCTTCAACGAGGAAGAGTATCGTCTGAAGAAAGCTGACTGACTCCGAAAGTACAGATGAAAGAAACTTAAGACAGAAATCCTTACCTTAGCAATTACACGAAATGTTTCCAACATTTTGACGCATGTCAGAGGAGGTGGTTTGAACATCAGCCTCTGCGTTGAGCGACTAGCTTTGGCAACAAGCCCTAAATCCCCCATAGCCTGGATGAGTGACAGGAGTTAAAACTCAGAAGGGCAACAACAACAAGATCACCAATTTAGAAGAAAAGAATAAATCTATTAAACTTCGAACTTCTTTAAACCGATAAGTTTCTTATTCTCTCTCCAAGGACGATCCAACATACCTTCAGCTGACTTTTGATCTGGTCCTCCTTCCTACCATACGCTTCAGCCAGAGTTTTGATGATAGCAGCATCACCGATACCAAGTTCTACTCCTTCATGAGCTGGAGCTACTTTGTTGGCTGACAGGTAGACCACAGCTAAGAGATCCCCAGGAGACGTAGCAATGACGGTGCGGAAAACATTGCAGATAATCTCCGTGATAGCCAGTCTTTTAGTTGTATTCGCTATCACTGCTTATTCGCCAAGAGCAAATAACCGGTGTAAGTTGGTAATCGTCAAGAACCTACATTATACTGGCAGTCGAACGGATACGTCTTCCCAGTTTCCTAGAAGAAGCTCAAGCCAATCAACTGAAGCATTGTAAATATAGATCACAATAAGTTGTCCTTAAATTAAATGAAAAAAGTTAACTCACTGAAGCATTATAGACATTGAGTCCTAACATCTAGTTAAAAGAGGAGAATTGAATTAACTGTCAGGCTCTCTAAAGGTATAAATAATCTGCTCAGAAAGAAAGAAAAACCGGGTGAAACCTTTAATTTGAGAAACCTGAATGTTGTTGGACATGTGAAAGAGTAAACAGAGAGCATTGAGCCACCAAGGTGTAGAAAGTTAAGAACTCTATAAAAGGAATCGGGGCCAAGACTCGAATAATCAGTTTAGATAGAAGAAAAGTACAATTGACACACAATTATTCTAGGCACAGCACTGCTAGTAACTATCCATTATCCAGTCCACACCCGATGAAAGCACAGCCAATTCCAGAGTTACTCTGCTGATAGAGCCGGACACTATACAGGAACACACTTTAGTAATTCAGAGAGAGGTAGAGACCTACAGTCAAGAGCTCGAGCCAAGAAAATGAAAGGCACCTGCTCTCCTTTCTTCCAGAACGCAGCCCGAGCTGGATCAAATTCTGATCTACTTTTCGATAATTCAGTATCAAAATTATCTACAGTCGTCGGCACAACTTTAGCCGCAGGCTTTTTCGAAGATTTTGAATCCGTGCAACCATCCTCCTCGTCAATCTTCTTCTCGTGCTCTTTTCTGTCTCTCTCCCTTTCTTTTTCTTTACTGCTGGCCGGAGCCCTACCTGCCTTTTCCCTCGCGGCTTTCATCAACACATCTGCCATAGTTCTTTGCGCCATCTTACTACTCCTTTGGAAAATTAGATTTTGCTGGTTTGAATTCTCGACGGATTCAAACTCCAATCGCAATCACTTCCCCAGACACGCTCAACCCGTCTTCGAATTTCCTCCCACCACTTCAATCTTCTTCCAGAGATCAATCGAGCTTCAGAGACGATGAAATGTGCTGGATCTGATCACTGCGGAATGCTCGTTCCCGCCATTTTTCCGTCTTTCTTTCACAGTTGACACCCATTCCCCGCCCCAACACGCGCTCACCTTCGAGCACAACCTCTACTTAAACTACAGTACAGAATACATCTTGCATACAGAAGAAGCGCGGAATAAAAAGCACTGTTACAGTTTTCTCCAAACGAGCGGTCACATTAATAGTATGTCACTACATTTACTTTTAATTCTTTCCAAAAAGTAATTACTTATGTTTATAAATATGTTTAAAAATGTCAACTTTTAACTAGTGTCGTACATATTGATGTAATATAGATTCAAATATTTATGTTACTCATCATAAGTATAATATTAATCAAAGTTAGTTTGCAAGTTTGGAACCAACTAGGTTCAGATTTGCATTTGGAGATTTTTCTTATTGAATTCTAGTCAACATTATGATTGGGTATATTGTACTAATGTAGATGACATCAGATATGTGAATTTATGAAAGCGTTGATTCTAGGAAATTGCTAGCAAGAATGCTTCATTGAGTTTATTTGTGACGAAAACGACCACATTGCAAGGTTTACAACGAATTCGAAGCTTGAACAATGAGGGAGTGAAAATTGGAACAATACGAAAGGTTGCAATCCGTTACATAGGTTTTGATGTTTTGTGCATGTTAATCATTCGTGTTAAAGAGATTGAAACCTCTCATCGACGAGAGTCAAATACTCTCACTATTTGATACTCTTATGAGACACTTGAATTATGTAGGTGGTATATTGGTAAACATGTGTTCAAGAAAAAGAGAGCTTTATGTACATAAAATGATACATATAGCATTCCTCTCATATCAGTTCGGATTAGATTATCATCCTTTGTTTGAGTATGCTGTAGTATACCTCCATGCCTTGAGTACACCAATCTCATCCAATTCAACCAACCTAAAGTTCGGGATGTTTATTGAACCAACCTCCATTCCCCAAATGGATCAACAAATATTATGGCAAGAGTATTTCCACCATTGAAATAGCGGATGCAAAGAACTTTTTTTTTATTTTCTATTCAAGATCAGAATTTGAAAACAAAGTTGTTTCGATAGATATGACATCATTAGCATGTTAATGAAGACAAATATACTAATGAGTGTGATATGTATCATCTTTTAGAAGTATATCTCCTCCATTTCAGTAATCATTGATTATTCCTGAAATGGAGTAGTGTGTATTCTGTGTATACAACACATAATAATTTCTGCACAATTTTGTATGACATTTGGATTCAAATTAGAGATGTGTGTTTTGTAGCCGTTTATTTACACACATATTATCAACATTTGGAATCTATGATCAATTGTAAAGTTATTATTTTAAAGTGCACATTTTAGTAAGTAATGAGTATAAAATATACATTAAATGAGTTCTCAAATGCATCAAGACAATATATGTAAATCTAAAGATTGATGTTCTTTTCAAGTTCTTATAGATTTTAGATATGAAGGTATTTTGAATGTCTTGTACTCTCAATCAAACAAAAATTAAGTCTTAGATATATATATATATATCAACATTATTTTAATTTGCCTAAACTAATTTAAAAACGTTGTCTAGTGTAGTACTGACATCACATATGAAATTGATATAGATCAATTGAATCAACACTACAAAAATTATGCAGGTTAACTCCAATTAAGTAGTAATATTGGTTGCTAGCAAAATAAAGCCATGAGGGTCGCCGGTGCTCGGATATTTAACACCATGATTTGTGTATTACTAAGAGATTTTTTTGATACACTTTCACGCATGTGAGCTTTTTTGTCGTAGTCGTAATATTTCAAAAGTTGAACCATGTTTTACTTAGTGTCCACCTTGTGTTGATTATTGTATAGTATTTAGTGTAGATAGTTTCTTCCATGTATGATTCTTGCAGATTCTGTTCATGATGAGTTGATAAACCAGTATTTCTATTATGTTAGGCATATGATTGAATTTATTGTTTAAAGGTTTGAGTTTGTGGATGCATATTTTCAAGCACTTGCATGTTTCTTCCTATAAGCAAGAGTTCTATGAACGTTGATGAATTCATGATGAATAACTAGCATTAGAATTTAGAGAGAGTCTCATTCGAAGATGGAAACATAAACTCTCAAGATGAGAGATAAGAACAATGGTTATACTCTCCATTATATAGCTCTTATCAACAAGTACAAGGAGATAAGATTTCATTTCCATATGAAACATACTTATAACTAGTCACATTTTTTCCATTGAATATAAGTTCAAAGTTCATGAATGTATATTAAACAACACAAGAACTTACTCAACAAAGCATCAATGTTCATTACTAGAAAGACAGACTACTTCAACACAATTCATTCATCGTAGAGTTTGATGAGACTCAAATTTGACATTACATCATAAAAACAATTATGCGCATCAGGATCTAATTACAAAATCTCACAATCTCAAATCTTCGTGTCTACATGAAATTATATCATTCACACGCAAAAAATTAGATCAATTTAGAAGCAGACCCCAAATCCAGGCCGCGAGTCCGGAGTTCATGCGAGAAGTAAAAAAATGGCGCTTAAACAAATTGTTCCATTTTTTTCACAGATAGGCGGATGCGATAAGCATCAAACGCGAACGGAAGCCGACGAAAGGGAGAACGATCAAGCGCTTGCAATCAAGCAGCTCTAAGGAGCGCCTAAGTGTAGAAGCAAGCAGAAGATAGCGTAGGCCCCATATGACAATCGTTTGTAGATCGAGTATAGACAATCGACAACTACGTGGACGCAACGCGAATGCATTGCGCATGTGCAAGATTCCACCCCATGACAACACGTGTTGTCTCCAAAGGTCAACATGTCATACTCATGAGTTGACACATCATCCTTCCTCAACGTCATTTCACACCTTTCCATCACGTCATCGTCAACGTGCGAGATTTTGACATGTGACTCCGTCACTTCATGGCACACAAGACAGTCAAGTGGTGCAGCAATGAGGAGCCAACACATGACAGACTCGTGGCGGACCCAAGAAGAGTTGTGCGATGCGGTTAAATAAAAAATTGACACGTGGCGCGGACGATACAACTGATATAACACGTAGGCACGGACGACACATGTGGCTTGACATGCATCTAACACGTGGCGGGCAGCCAGGTACAACAAGCATGAAAAGTTTCCAAAATATTTTGTTCAAATTTTGCTTCTGTCGGCGGATTTCATCTGTATTGAATTATTCATTCCAGAGAATATTTTGTTTGTAAATATTTCATCCAAAATCATTTTTTCCAAAATATAGTCAAAATGAATATCATCAAAAAGATTTCAACATGACTAGTGTATTTTGACACGTTTTGAGAATAAAAAATGATTCAAAAGGAGAATATCGTCGCGAAAGCGACTATTATATCTAATTTTTGAAAGATGTAGATGACATCAAGACTTGTTGGAGGATAGAGGAATTCCATTACAACCTTATATTGACAAGGTGATTCATTACTTTGGGAAAAACAAGTAGAAGAAAAATTAAAAGCCATGCATCTCGCCATGTTCTTGATAAAAAAAACTTGTAAACGTTAGCGATATGAAATGGAAGTATCCACAAATATATAAAAACCATACACTATTAAAGTTATTACTTCATGATGACATTGTACAATGAGGTTGTAAGTGTCATATTGACATACAAGGTTGAACATGAAATATCATCATCTCATTCATCCACTTGCGGGACAGTATTTATTGTGACAAGAGATTAGTCATGTTTGAGGAAAAATACACTTGACAAAATTTTAGATCGAAGATAACAAGATGTAGCTGCAGAAGTCGTCCCATGAGAGAAAGGCGGTGGTTTATTGGATATGTGGCAAGAGTGGCCACATCAAAAAATATTACCACAAAAAGATCAAAGACATAGTTATCTATTGAAAGAAGAGGAGAGTTTTATGACTATCCGTTTAGACAAGAAAAAATCTTCACTCACAGATATGATTGTGGGGAAGTTTAATTATTGTGTGATTAATTATGAAAGATGAGTATCAGGATGAGTATTAGATGAGTACTAGTGGAGTTATTAGAAATCATGATTTATATGAGCATGTTATTGTTGATAAACCTCATGAATCAGCACAAGATGATGAAAACCAACTGGAAATTTCTATCAGAAAATCATGGATTCATGCTGGTACGGTTTTCAAAATAAGTATGTTAACTCTGTTTACATGAAAATTCAAGCTTGGGATAATAACCTTGATTAAAATTCCTTTAAAGAGTGGAAATGTAGTCATTTTATGATTAACAAGACATGTAAGATAGTTAAGCTTCTTGAGTATCATGTGTTAATCAATTTGAAATGGGTGTACAAGTTGAAGTATAATTCAGCAGTTGACGATGCAAAAATCTTCGAAGCGAGGTTGATGGATAGAGATTTCACATATGAGAAGATTGTGGACTACAAAAAAATTTTTCTCGGTTGTAACAAAGTATGCTACAATCTTTATAGTATGTGCATCGGCCGCAATAGTTACTCTTGTTATTGACCATATAGATATGGTTACGTCTTTTTTACTATGGATATTTATAATAATAAATTCGCATGAGACAATCGTTTGTCATTGAGGTTAAAGTTAATGAGAGATTGGTTTGTAGATTGTTGAAATCACGATATGAAATTTGCAAACTTGTAGGAAATGTAACATGTGTTTTTTGATGTGGTCAACAGGTAGTGTTTGCTATTATCTCTTTATATAATTACTCTATCCTATGATGGCTATGGCTTAGTTTTAACTAATTCTTGTTGTAGAGAGAGATTTTGTATTAGGTATCTTTTTAAAATTTTACACATAGTAATTATATAGGTTACGAAGGTTTTTGTTACCTCTATGCTAGCAGTTTTTTTCGTTAAATGTTTATATTTTTTTTCTATCATCTTACGGATGTAGCTTAGTTCTAGGTAATTATAGTTAACAAGAGTGATCTTGTTTTAGGTTTCATAGTATATATAGAGTTTACTGTTCCCTTAACATGAATTAAAGTGTAGATTGTTGAGATTAACTCTGATTAAAAAGTAATACGATTTCTAGCTAAATTTGGCTAGGAAGTTTTCAGATGCTGGAGTACTCAATGTATATATACTTTTATATTAAAAGACTCTTTTTATACTCCTTCGCGCATGTGAGTTTTTTTTTGTGAACTTAATTCTCTAAAGGATGAAACACGTTAGACCTCATGTATATCTTCAAATTTCCATTTCAATAACTCTATTTCATATATTTTTTAAAACAACACATAAAGGCTGTCATAACAAATAATAAAAGAATTTTTTTAATTTCTTCTAATAATAATATATTTTGTAAAAATCTTTTTATTAATTTTGTATGCAAAATATTTGTGATTTATTTAAATATATATAAGTCAATTAATTGAAAAAATACAAGCTGAACAAAATGATTTTGTTATAACCAATTTTATGGTATCTTTTATGCATCTTATAAAATTATAGCACTTGCATCATCTATGATGTTGAAATAAAAATAAGAATAAGATCATAATTAAAATAAATAAAAAATAAATGAAAATTTAACCTGAATTAAAAAATGTAAAATCATTAAAAGTAGAAATTTTTATATAATTTTTATTTATTAGAAAATCAGTAATTTTTGGAAGAATAAAAATCTATATCAAACTCTAATTTTTCCAAATACAATAGAGTTACTTCTTTGATAAATTAATGATGAATTAGAACTAAAAATAAGTCAAATTACATTTCATCATACAAAATCTTTTCTATATTTTTTCGAAATTGAAATAAAATTTCAACCAAGAAATGTGGATTTTTTGGTAAACATAATTTACCTTAAGGTTGATAGTTTTTATGAATACAATCAACTTCATATATATCTATCCAGTATTCTTTTATAAATGATTTTTTAAATACATATACAACACTTATACTTTACTGAAGAGACATGAAACCGTTGTTAAATTTGATTGCCCTAGTTGGACGGCCCATACAAGAGCCATCAGATGTTAATGTAGTGAATGCACGATTTGAACAAGATGGTTCGGATCTGTCGAATTTCGATTTGGACCCGTGTGGATTCCATGAACAAAGGACTTGACTGGGCACCTTGTATTCGCCCTATCAGCTGGTACCCATCCAAAGTCACCCAACCGCAGGCATGGTTGCCACTCATGTTAATCCGGCAGTGTCGAGTGTTTACTCGACATAAATCCCATGCAGTTCAGAATATACCCATACCGTGTCAGAGAGACAGGCTATGAAAAGTAAGGGGACTTCTAGGACATTCCTAACTCGGCCCACGACCCTGATTCCGGGGCCGTCGTTATGATAGTTATAAACCGTCGATCGACGTGCACGACCTCGTACAGCAGAGTAGTGCGTTGGGTGATGCATGGATCACGACGTTGGTGCACAATCGGAGTTGCGCTCGCTCATCGCAGCCGAGGATTTCGGGGAGCAGATCCAGTGGAGTGCAACAAGGCAAACCTCCAGAGCGAAAATCACCAAAACAAAAAGGAGGCGAAAGCGAACGAACAACGGCTCTCTGCGAGAACGAACACAGAAACAATAACCTGCGATGCGCAGTCGCAGGTTCGGGGAGGTCTTGGGCCAGAGAAACGTGTGGTGGGGGGATGCCGACACGTGTGCGAGCGATGACGTGGTAGAAGGCGACGCGTGGGCCATTGCAGCACTGACAGCGGGAGCGGGCTAACCTCCGGTCAATGGGAGAGGGAGTGCTGCCAAGTGGAGGTTGAGCCCCCGGCGAGCGCATTAGGTCGAGGCCGAGGAGACGGAGAGGGGCATTATTGTGGGGTCGCATTGTGGCCAAGCGAGTACAACTGGGGCCCTGGGCGAATGAGGAGTTGAGCGTCTTGAGCTTTGCGCCAGCCATCGCTGAAACTGAAAAGAGCTTTGGAGCGATCCCCCAGCGCTGCGGAGCGGAGCGAGGCCTGGCGACGCGACGGGCTGGGTAGAAAGAGCGCGAGCCCGGCTGAGATTGCGTTTCGATCGAAGCGGTGCTCTTGCTTTCGGTTGGGTTTGCATTTTGCTTCGTGTTGAAGGGATCCGCCCTCGGGATCTCGGACGGAACGTGAAATCAACCAAACGCGGGTCACTGGAGGAGCACTTCGACGGGAGAGGAGCGGAAGAAGCTCGATCGCTAGTCACCTGTTGGTTTGCTTGTTTCGCTACACGAGCATCTTGCCGAAATGACGGTCTCTCTGTGGACGCTCGTTGTCCAGCTTCACACTTTTGCCGGGTATATCCACCGAGTCCACGATGCGCGTTTTGCCCTGTGTGTTGATCTATTTCACTCTGGTCATTGTTTCGCGAGGCCCGGACGAGAGATTTTTGCTCTAGACGCCCCAACAATTTTCATCACTAGGCATTCCCAGGGGCGTTCATGCGAAGAATTCGGACCCTGCCGCAGCTCCATACTTGCAGTGGATTGATCTGGCCTTTTCCATCTTTGGTGTTCTGAGCCAGAGAACACTTTCTAGGTGCTAAAATCTGACCATTTGTGGTTGCATGTGCTTTCAGGCCTATTCTCATGCTCGTCTACCCATTGTAAGTGCCGTCTGCCTCCCCTGATGTATCTGTGCTGTCGTCGTTTCCTCGGCTTGCTTGTCGAACTCTTCTTGTGATCTGGCCTTATCGGTAGATCACAAATATATTAACAGGACAAATTGAAGATCATGTCGTTAATGAATGTGACGGATTGGTAGATGTAAGGTTTTAGTGACCTTGGGTGACTGGAGGAGCTCGTTGTTAGGATTATTCGCAGTTTTTAGACCAAACGATCGTTGGGTATTGCTTTCAATCTAAAACTCGAGATATGTGCAGGTATGCGTCTATCATGGCCATCGAGAGCCCTTTTAAGGAGGATGATACCCAGTGGCTTACATATTGGGTCCTGTACTCATTCTTCTCCTTGATCGAGCTCGGTTTTGATCGAGTGCTCGCTTGGTACGTTTTAATGTGTGAAAGCGGTTATTATTCATTGGATCCCCATTATATCCTCAGTGATCCACAAGTCTTCAGGCGTGATTGGGCCCTATGAGAAACAGGGTTTGTCCTCACGTCTTGTAGGGAGCATCCTCTCTAGCATAAAGAAGATTGAAGATTGTATTGAAACTATTTCTCCAATTATCATGGAGGCTTGAGTGATTCTTAGCTTTTATAAATTGGCCTTATCAAATTGCTGTTGAGGTGTCGGGCTTTACATTATACGGAACTGATGTGGTGAAGTTGGTGGTGCAGGATTCCAATGTGGTATACCGTGAAGTTGGCGTGCATCGCTTGGCTTGTCCTCCCTCAGTTCCGTGGAGCTGCGTATGTTTATGATAATTACGTCAGAAAGCACATCGGTGCCACTGCCGCTCAGGTAGAAGCGAAGTTGACACCACAACAACGCCACTTTTTGCAGATGATGAGTCCCCAAGCGAGAAACTCAGTGGCGCAGTTCATCAATGAGAATGGAACGGAAGCTTTTGACAAGATTATTTCGTCTGTAAGTTAGTTTTTAAATTTCAGATTGGATGGAAGTTGGTTTGATCAGGAGAACAAACCGTTTCGTCTTTATGATCTTCTGAATTACATAATTACTATTCAGTATAAATAGTACTCAGAAAATGAAATCAAAATCTGTTTTGTCTTTGTTCACTTTCCTTATCACGACTTAATTTACGCAAACAGCAACAATTACGTCTTTAATTTAGGCATCTGGAGTTTACAGCACAGGTAGTCGTGGAAATTGACTCTTTGTTTGTACAGAATGAAATATCTTATTAGTCTGGTGTTATGACGTATCTCGCAGGCAACTAATGAAGCGAAGAAGATCAGGCCTACCCCTAATGGAGAGACGCAAGAAAGATATTAGATTTGGAGTCGTTGGAAGTTGAGATTAGTGGTACGGTGCACGACATTTACAACTGGAATCTTCACTAGTTGGTTTTGTTGTTGTTGGTTTTTCGAGATGCGTGAGACTTTTGCTTGGTAGTACATATGAGTGATGATGCTCTTCTTATTATGCTTGTGTGATGTCAATGAATTTTGATTCAGGATGATCAGGGTAGTGTCGGAGGTGGCACATGGCTCATGGATTTTGTCGTACTATCAAATACTGTAGAAGGATTGGTTAAATCCACTTATACCAGGTACACATAGGTCTGTTAATCAACACGTAGGGAATCGTGAATTGTAGTGCGGAAAGTTAAATATCCAGAGCGTAATTCCCCGTCTATCCAGGTTAAGCGCCGACATGGTTGTGTGATCAACTCTGTCGTATGACCAGTGGATTGAAGGCACAAGTTGGGACTCTTGTCCAGATAAAAGCTGGTGTTGAGTAGTTTTCTGACGAGACGTAGAAACAGTAGTACATTCATTTTTGTCTGTAGAAATTACAGATATGTACAAACCTGGAGTTTACTCGGCGGATGGTATGATTACTACCTTTGATATTTCAACAATTACGCGTCTACCACCGTGTTGAAATACTGTATAAAAGAAATTCTCGAAACTTCTGATGATATTAAGCGTCAGAAATATCAATTATTATTTATTTTTGTGCAACAATGCATGTCACATATGCGCATATATATTAAGAGGAAATATGCTGTTTACAACTTGTAATGAATGTTTAACAAATTTATTGGCAATTCTTGCATGATATTTTCTATGTTCTAACTTAAGAGATAAGAGATTACTCGAATATGAAAATTGAGGTTAATGTCGGTGATATATAATCTTTTCTCTGGTTAATCAAAACACATTTTTTTTTCGGAAAGTAATCATGGTGGAAACGAAGGTGGTGGCCAATTTGTGAGAATGTATGAAATATGTGTGGAGACTGAATGAAAAGTATATAACATTGGAAAATGTAGAATCGAATATTTAGATTTGCACTTTTTTTACAAAATAGAGTTGAAGGAAAGCTGAAATGATCAAATTCGATGTAATGTAATTTGATTCATATTTCCACCTTTTGTATAAATTGTTAATGAATGTTCCGAATGTGTGAAAATAGCCACCGAAAATACTATTGTAACATTGAATCAGAACGATAAAGATTGAACAAAGTACGCACAAAGATTTGGAAAAAAAAATTATCTAGAAAAAATCAGTAATTTTTAATATTATATTCCATTTCCACAACAAATTTCCCTAAACTTCACTTTTCATATCGTTAGTTTTTAAGCAGATTGTATATAACTACCTAAAAGATAATAGTGAAAACGTAATTTTAATAACTCTCCAAAAAATATCTTCTCGATCATATATACTGTGTGCAGTTAAGTATATTTCAGCAACATGTTATGAGCTGAGCAGAAAATCATTAACTCTTCTATTGATGAAAGTAGAGTTATGAAGAGAATTATACTCATTTACATTCACACAATGATTCAAGTCCCATGCGTGTGTATGATTGGATTCGCGACCTGCGGATTATAATACCATACTGTACAATACAATACTAAGTATATTATACAAAAGTTTGATGTCCACATAAGATGTTATCATTCGTAGATGTTACACTCCTCATGCTTACGCCCGCCGAAATATCAACGAGATCAAATTCATCACCACCAGCAAGGGTATTCTTGAAGTGCAGTTTCATAACCTTTCAAATTTCGAACTTCTCCCAAATGTCATCCTTTGAGTTCCCACTTTCGAATGGAGACTGTTACAAATATAAAATCTTACACTTGTAACAACCCAACAACGAGTGTGAACTTATGGATTTTTTATTATACAAGGAATGGTTTGGGAGTGCTATATAATACAATGGTATGATACCATGGGTATAATACAATAATAATACATACACACTTATAGTCCTGATATGTCTCATGTTACTCTTCCTACCTAGTGTAAGAGTAAACTTACTGTGAGTTAAAAGGGTATATTGTGATATACTTCTGTTATATTATGGAACGGAACATATGTGATTTTTATGTGCATATTACTTGTCACAACTTATCTAATGATTTCTATACTAGGTAGATTTTTATATCAGGTATATTTATAGGTAGATCAAACAAAGTAGTTAAAGTACTCTTTGCAATCATTGTCAATCACATCGAAAGTCCAATAGCCATAGTTAGGGGCTATGGGGTCTGTGATTTAAAATTCGTTTTCAAATTAGTATGTCTAAGTCTTCAGTTTTTGAAAATTAAGTTTAAAAAACAAGTACTTCTGATATGATATCGAGGATTTAATTCAAATAATGATGTCCGAAGCTTCAAGAACTAAAATTGAGATCGAGGATTTGGGAATAATATTCAAACTAGGATGTCCGAAGCTTCAAAATTTTAAATTTAAAACTTATTTCTATAATGAAGAGGAACTACTATCTGAAATATCTTACTCACAGTAAGAGTTTGGTTCACATGTAATACAATATTTATCTTAGAATTGAACCAATTTTCTAGTACTAGGATTCGCCCTATTAATTTTTTTTGATATATGATAATTTTTACTCCATGATAAAATATATAGATAGTATTCAGATTAGTGTGATACGTGAGAATGTAAGTGATTATATGTAACGTAAACTAAAGTAATGTTGATTAATGGTTTATGTAATTTCTTAGATTTACATAAAATTTACTAATTGAGAGAAAGATATATATATATAAAAAGTTAAGTTAAAAAAAACCCTTTACACATGATCTCGTAATAGACTGGGACCAGAGGGTCAAAAGGCTCAACTATATATAGCCTCCGAATCGATGAGCTTCACGAGGAATACTTAATGGGCCCCATCCTGTCCGAACGCAGAATGGGGAATAAATTTTACTTTCAGACAGATATTTCCACCCGCAAGAAAATCATCCTGCGTCAAAGTCTTGAATACTACCCGTCAGATAGGTGGTTCCACTCGCAAGAAATCATACTCCGTTAAGATCTTGAATAATACCTTCACATAATGTAGGAGTAATTTACTTGATGGACCCTTCGAAACTTAATACTTTTAATCCCCAACAAGTTTCAATGTCAACGGTTTCTTATAACCTATTCGTTTGCTCTATAGAGTGGAGAGTGTCAGCGGCTGTCGGGCCAGAGTATTTTGGCAATTCCTTCGCAGCCATGTCTAAGGAAACTACGGGCACCATGAGCCTGCACAATATCGAAATAACCCCGGACAATACTGGAATCACTGACGGTGGGGCTGCAATGCCCCACCGTCACTTTACCGGATGGGACCCCATCCGGTAAAGTGAAACCTATTGGGTCCCATAACACTTCTGAGTTTCCCCCGGGTCCCATCAAGTAATTTCCTCCATAATGTAATAAACCCGTAGTGTCACGCTACACAGCCTCACCAGGGAATACTTTGTCTCACGTTCCCTTCTCGGTGGCTTCCAAATTGCTTCAAAAGGACAGAGAAATATGTGATTTCCAATGAGGTCACAGATAAATGAGTCTGGAACGGATTCCGATAGACAGCGTCAGCCTGGCGTGTCCTATGTTCGACTCGTGGATTGCAAAGTCTCTCTTGCTACGGCAACTAGTCATACCTAGCATGCGAGCACGTCTTTCAATTTGTTGTGTTCGACAAAGAGCTATATGAGTTAATCTTATCCTCATTCTGGCTTGGTATTCCTCATTGCCTTCTGTCATGAGTCTACTGAACTGAGGCAAGTTCCACCTTACCCCACGAACTGTATGTTGTACAGTACTGATTCAGATAGCAAAAGATTATCCGACAGGTGTGGTTTGGATTGAAACTCTTTACAGGTATGGACTGAAACTTCTTTACAGGTATTTGGTGGCCTTACTCACATTTACATCAATGCCTCGCCAAGGAGCGGCGCATGTTTCGTAACAGCTGCGAGTCTTTCCCGATAATGAGATGAAAAAATACTAGAATGAGATATTAGGAAAAATTAGCAGTTTCCGTCCACGTCTGATTGTCTACGCGACTGCTCTCCATTGTGATCTTCTATCTAGAACAGAACAGTACAATTCGCTGGCAGGAGTTCCGTTTCATAGCATGTAAACGTGTTGCGAGTGGTGGAAAGAGAGCTGCCTCATATAGCACCGGCTACTCTTTAAAACTAGACATCCTCAAGTTAGGCAGCTGCCATGGCGATTCGGTCGCACATGATTTCAAGCAAATAAATACAACCCTCGTCTTACCTATTGACTCTCACTTTCAGAAGAACTGTCAGAACTCTTGTGACCAGGATAATGTGTCCTGACGTCGCACATCTTGATTACCAAACAACCCGCATTTGGCTCTGCCCAAGGAATGTGCGTCTTGGCCAGGTACTCCGTCAGCTGCAAAGAACTATTACGTTAGACATATCTCCAACAATGAGTCCAATTTGTAACCTATAATCACACATTCTATTGTTCTCACGACATAATTACTAGGAAATATTCCCATGATTCCCGCCAAGTGGAAAGACCAACTCCGTACATCAAGGTGCATTTGTCGAAGAGAAAGAAAGCACCATACTGATTTCCAAAACACAAACAGTCCTAACTTAGGCTACGATGCTCCTGGCACCATCACTATGAAGGAACGCAGTCGAAGTCATAATCAAAAGTCAAATGTTTCGATTGCTATCCGTGCTTAATATACACTGAAATTTTGTTATTCAAAGCTTTTAGATATGCTTTCCGCGGCTAACGGAAATTGAGGACACTCGTAAGAAAAGCTTTAGTAATCAAGATATCTTACCGCAGGTTTGATTCTTGCACGTCCGCTAGCACTATGCGATCCATGACCGGTGATTACGGTCAAAGTGTGAACAGCTGCATCCAATACATCCGTAATTCAAAAGTCAACGACATACTGCTCTAGACTCTCGTCCACAAAGTAGAGCAAAGACGAATGTGATGACTGCAGGGACATCTAGACGTACAAGAGATAGACGACAAAGATCTCAGATGCAGCTTAAGCAGCCGAAAGGCCTCTTGAACATGCTGCGCGTGGAGATCGATAGAAATGTTATTCTCGATATCTCTGTTCCTGCAACCATAGCCATACGGTACAAAGGTTTAAGAACTAAGAACTAGGACAAAGTTACTCATGCACAATCTCGGATGTCCTGAATCTCCATCCTAAAGGTCCTAAATCTCCACAACCCCAGGAGCAAAACTTCCGGAAACGTGCTCAACAATGAAAAATGAAAGGTATGGAATGCTTGGCTATGGGCCTGAGCTGCGTACTTCACGTTGAAAATGTTCTCACTGGCTCTCAAGCTTGCTTCACGAGCTTGTGCTTTGTAAAGCTGCCCCTGCAACGACGCGAGAACAGTGTGAGACACTTCAAGAGAGTGGATATATGTAAACTTTTGAAAGTCCATTACAAAGAGTGTGAACAAAAGGCATACCTTTTGCGACAGATCCCCTGCCAAAGCGCGTTGACCCCGACTGTGTGCTGCTGCAGCCTGCAAAAATAGCATCAATCGTCATCAGTACGACCAACCAAAAGTTTTATGTTTGAAACACTGACATGGAAGCTTCATATGGGCAGGTCCCCAACAGTGATATCAAGGTAAATCTGATGTTTACCTCCTGAAAGCATTTCTTCATTTTACTCCAAAGTTCATTTGCAGTAGCGCGATGTCTCTCATACTCATCAACCTTAGCTGCACACGTTCACAAAACCTTCAAACTTTTCCCTAAACAATGTACGCAAAATTATGTAATATGGACACAATTCCCTCGAACGCCCCACATGTTGGGCACCTTCTTGACATTAAGAAGCCTTGGACGGCTACTCAGGCTCAAAACATTTTACGTTTATCTTTCGCTAACCTTTTACAATTTTGCTATCCGTTGCACAAGATCGGGCTCGTGGTCTCGCAGCCACAACAGTATACAGCTCTCCATTGGTGTTTTGCTCGCATGATGAACCAGCATCTGAGCTTTCAGGCTCCCTTCTGAACAAGGCTTGCAGTACCTCTGCCGGGTCGACTTTAGTCTGAGCCCTCTCATTGACTGGTGTCATTCCCGCTTCTTTCAAAGCCTGCACCGCATCCCTACAACAACACAAGTCCTCCACAGCTATCTTTCTCATCAGATACAACTCAACCACTCGTTCAAGGCATCCTTACATCTCGTTTGACCTACTGGAATATTCCCAGGGCGATTTTTTTCTGGTCTGATAATTTACTTTCTATCATCAAGCGATCTCGTGAAAAAATCGAGTAAATTGAACACAGCGCTGTCAATAACCTGTGTAAGACGCACTTACTCCGAACAATATCGTCACTAGATTAACCTGCTAATCAGTATATGGCTATAATATTTTCCAGTCATCGTAGGATGTACCAGACTGTATACTAACAGAGGATCTTTCTAAGATCTGAGAAGTGCGTGTAGTACTGGCAGTCCAAATTGTTCATACCGAGAACAACGACTGCTCAGACTCGACGCAGTTGGTCAGATCAGTTTGTGACAAGTTGAGTAGCAACGTTTCTGACCGTCCAATTTGCTTGTAAACCATTGCTCACTGGATGAAGTGTCTTTCTGGGAACAAACCTTACATTCTCTCATATATTTACACCCCAATGTACTATCTGCTTACGACCATGTGGTATGATAGATTCCAATTTAAGCTACGTTACAATCAACAGATAATTATTTGGGGAGCTGTCCAAGGCATATCTACTACAGAAAAGCACTAAACGATGATACAGCCTAGGAACCATCTATCTACGTCGGTCGACTTGCAAATGTATTGAGTTACGATGATAATTCAGTTTTCAGAAACAAACACCTGAAACTCCTCCTAGGCTGGACATGTTAGAGGAAAATAACTTTCTTAGTTGTCTGAGGGCCATTTCTTTCAGATCGGTATCCAAATAGCTGACAAAGCATGTCTCCATATATGAAACGCAGAATGTCCTCTCTCTGAGGCACTCAAATATGAAAAGGTTGTTTTCTCCACTGGAAAACGGGCAAAACAAATTCACCAAAATCGCTCATGTACATCTTTCAAAGTTCCAGGACTGTCAAGCCGCTAGTCAAGAAGTATTCAGATTCTCCAGACACCAGAACTTCACTAAGCAAGACTGATGGCCGGTCAGAAGTAGCTTAAACTTTAGAAGGCTCCAATTCAAACATCTCTGGAAAGATCTGTTACACGTGTGTTGAATACGATGTGATTATCAATAATGAAAATCAAGACCAACCAGAACAACATTGTCAGTAGAAGGAACAACCTGGTTCTGAAGACTCACCCGTACGAACACTCAGATGCTTGTAACACCTCTGAAAGAAAGCTGCGCTCAACAGTTGGAAAGCTTTCGTGCAGTGTGGATAAAACATGCTGCAAGAAAACATGGGTTCAAGGTTTACTGAAACGGAAAGTCATAAGTAACATATCTCCATCAAGTCTTCATGCGTGGAGACAACAATACGGGCATTGTAAATTTTAATTTCCAAACAAACATGAAGGAGAATTAGAAGCTGGGTGACCTTAAAGCTCAAATACAATAATGAGGAAGGAAGATGCACAGGATTGATTTTAGAAGTACTACTTGCATAGTCAAATGGAAGACAATCAGCCGTGAGAAGAGTAACGTGCATGACTACATGCTTCACAGAATGTCGAACAATAGAACAACCATAGGCTTCCAGAAGCATGGAGCATATCATGACTATGCATATGATTTTCAGAAATACGGAGTACAAATCAAGTAAAGGTCAAAAAGGACGTCTCATGACGCCGTTGCCCACAACTTCACGTACATCAGATGTGTAGAAACTTTGCATTTATAAACGAGCTGACAGCATATTTAGTAGATCGTACGTGTTGAGAATAAACAGAACTGTGTATTCGTTTGATTCGAATCGTTCATGTGGTCACTTACATCAAACTGGGTACGCTCAACCGAGTCATCTTCAGCCATACTCTCCTTTAAGACAAGCTCCTTTTGAAGGATTGCGTTTATGGCTTGAACAATATCCTCATCGCACTCCTGCTCTCAATAAGTTCGTTAGTAAGATTCATTCCACAATGCCTTCAAAATGATATAGACGCACCACACCTTCCACCTTTTTACTTGCGAATGAAATCTAATATAACTAGAAGTCACTTCACCTCTGAGGTACACTTTTTGCTTGTATCTACAATACCTGGAAGGCAATCAAAACCTCGGCCGGATCCATATTTGGAAAGACTTGAATCAAATTTTGTAAAGGTTCAGACACCTGGTCAGGTAGCTCAGTACAATGGAATCCGGGTGATGTTGATGCCATGTGTAGAAGGGTCTCCAAGGCCTGGAGAAAAAGAATTTTGACATTGATCACAGATATATATCTAAAAAACTCAAAATATCTCTCTACTCAGGTTCAATTCATCACGTTCCGTCAGCATTTTCACAGTGAATGAACATTCAATCCAAAACATTCTCAACGCAACTCAAAACTCATTCGGCATCGAAACATAATCATTTGGATACCATTCCCTTCATGAATAGAGTCGCGGCTTCCAACATAGCTCGCCTTCACTCCCATCAGGTACATCCAACTAAGACAAGTGACAAAGTGATCCACCTGAAGTCTACCCTACTCCGTTTCCCCAATGAGAGGCAATCATACAACAACACGTACCTCGTTAGTGTCGCCAGAGAAGTGTTCTGGAAAACCATGGACAACAGTAAAAGAACATCAGCGAAGACAGCGTTCGGGAAGACAATCATTCTAAGGTAGAAACCACGTATTGAACAGTTACCCACAGAGGCTACCAAGATGGCTGGGAATTCGGGGAATAGAGGCACTCGACTACGAAAAACTGGAAATACTGTTTGTCCCTATACTGTGATTTATGCATATGTAAGCAAATGGATACTGTTACATATCCTTGTCACAGCTTAGCTCGCTAGCTCGCTCGTTACTGCAATTAAAAATTAACCCTCTCGTTCGTCGTATAGCTTTCAGACAAACCCAGCTGAGTTTTAAACTAAAACTCAGTACCCTAGTTGAGGTTCATTGAGTTTGGTAAGCTCATCAGATTCGGTGTCTTTGTGAGTTCTCACTGCATTCAGCACTCAATCCTCCTCCAAACTCTCCTCACTATGATGAAGAGAAAAACACAATGTTCATAACTCCTGTCACAGGAACTAAGGTCCATTCATTCATCGCCTTAACTTCCGCTAGCGTTCCTTCAACATACAGCCCAACCAAGGTATTTTGTGTTATGATCCATCCCGAAAAGAATCTTTGATGGAAGTAGTCCTTTGGCTTATACCGGGTTCATTTAGCGTTCATCATGTCGTGATATTCGTAGATCTGTTGACATAATCGTCTATGCTGTACTACAGAAGCTTCCACTGTAATCAATATCGTATATCAGGTGGCAACATTTACAAACTTGTATGAATCTGGCGGATCGAACCCAATAAATAGAAACTCCAGTCCGTGATGTATACATTTTGACAGGAAGAACTGGTGTAGATACTTGAGAAAGAATATGCCTTGACCACTCATTGTGAACTACGGCTTTCCCCTTACCACGCATAAGCGTACTTGTTTACCTCTCCCAAAGGACACGTACAAGATCTTCTGTGTGTTTCGCTTGGAGGGCAGCATAAAGAAGAAACCAAAGTCCATTCCAAAATCAGAGGTTACATGAAAATTAAACAGTCCTCTTTCAAAAAGGAACGCACCTAAGACGTCCCTGACTACGTCGATACCCAATTCAAAGGAGTCGCCCAGCATGGAGTATAGGAAGTCCTCCGTTTGCCTAACAGAATCGTCTGCAAAGCTACCACAATCGTCATTTCTGTTCATGCCACCTTTCTTCTTCTTCCGCTGCTTCCCATAGAACAGCACCTCATCACCCTCCCTATGTTCCTTGCTGTCTTTGCCAGCGTCAAAATGAGAGAAGCCATTCCTCCTCTGCTGCCTGTGACAAGACACAGTGCCAGAGATAGCTGACACTTTCTTGCCAACATTGAAACCTTTCCATCCAGGTAACAAGGAGCTCCCGCTATCAGATAAAACATTCCCCGTCCCATTACTGGCCCCATTCCCAGCTGCTGTACCGCCAACACATCCTAGCGCGGAAGAGTTGCTCAATATTTTTCCTCCATTGCCACCCATGCAGGCCGAACTACCGCCGAAAGTTATCCCGAGCTGACATGCAGACTGCCAAACCGTCTCCTGTGTCCCGAACGACATACCAGAATTTTCCTCAGGGGGCCTACCGCTGTGATTGTGAGCTCCCGGCGCCTCGTGAGATACGACTGATCCTGCTTCTTGCTTCTCTACTTTCTTGAGCTGCTCGCTCATCTTCTCGAAGTGGAAAACTGATTCCAGAGGTTTGCAAGTGCTATCGAAAAACTGCGCCTCCTCACTGAGCTCGTGCGGCGCTACATTTCTCCCCACCTTCTGTCTAACATCAGAAATTGGCTTACTGCTGCTCCCGTGAGCAAGAAGCTCAGCCGCATAATTGGGATCTCCCTCAGCTAGAGTATATGCTTCCGCAATGCAGGGCAAAGAAATTCCGGGAAAAACATTAAGCAACATCCTCAGATTTTGATGCTCTGCATCCAATTCATCTTCAGATGTTTGAACTTTCATAAGTCTCGGAGGTGTACGACTCTGATGTAGCCATGTGTCAAACCATTCGCGGTCGGAGGCCATCACTTCGCCTCTGTATCCAAACGTGGAGTACACGCTTACTCCTCTCATAAACACTTCCCAGTCACCTGCTTGCCAAATCTGGTCTACACTCAAGGAGATGAATTGCAGACCGGACAGAAATTGCACTACTCAATTCATCCCCGAGCAAGGGATATTCTCTCAGCAGCCAGTCTGAAGCGAGTTTTGGTAACAGAAGAGCAAACCAGCTTCTCGATGATGTCTGTCTTCAGTAATCAGGATATCTGAATAATAGACCACAAACCACAAGACCTGTTCCTGCTGACCGGCAAAAAAGTTATGACCGGAGAAGCTCCTTGGACGTCGGTCACTAAAACTCCAAAGAACGACAACACCTGTCACTGTTAGGCATACGAAGCACCAAATCCGTCCATGCCGATGATTCTTGTCTGCCAGGAAAAATTCTCGGTCGACTTTCGAGATACTGCACGAAGCGAATGGCGCTTCGAAGTTTATCCACTCACTACAATTCTTCACTTGTGCACCAATGAGTCTTTCGCTCGTAAGCTTGCAGCCGTTCTCGCGCCAACGCGTGGCTCTGGCTCAGGGTGGTTCTTCCTCGTGAGCCTACGATAATTGCTGCACCGCCGTCGCGCAGCACTCCCGCGCTCGACAAAGCCTCGACGAACTTATAGCAAATTCTCTCGGGGGCGCGCAGGATCAGCAAAGTGTGCAAGAAGGCCGCATCCGCACACTCACGAAGTCAGGGGGTCCGCTCTGCTGCAGCAGCGGTCGCTCACGAACGAGATCTTGAATTGTACGTGTACGCTTCGTGCTGTCGTTTCCCTCCTGCTGCGCGGCGCGGCACTCGTCGAGTCGTCGACCTCTGCAGTGGAGCTTGAAGTCCCCGGCAGGTGGGCCGCCAGCCGGTGGTCCCCGGAGCCTCCCATGCCCAGGCGCCAGGCACGCGCGCTCGCCATGAAAATCCATGTCGTGATTCCTTCTGACAGCCACAGGGCTACTGGCTTTAGGCAGTCGTCAAGGTTGTATATGCTTCGTCGGACATAGGCTGTACCCGGGCGGAACAATACTTCGGATACAGCGCTTTGTCGAACTGACCCAAAGAATCGGCAATACATCCTGCTCGTGGACATGAACAAGAAAACACGCTGAATCCCACCACCTGCCTGTCCGGTCGGATGATCCCGACAACAACCGGTGACGATTCACTGGTTTACGATCCCCTCGCAACGGATTGAAACTGGAGCGTCAACAGAGGTCCGGCCACATACAATGCCAGGTGGCATATGCATTATGAAATGCATTTTTGAGCGGATGAGCGAGATTGCGATGAAAAGGTTTTTCCTTTTCTGTATAATCAAGGTATGCCTTCTCTTTTCCTTTTCGAAGAACCAAGGTATGCTTTTTTTTGGAACAAGACTACTCAAACGTACAATCATCTTGATACTTTCGCATTTCACACGTTCTTCCGATTTTTAAATAATAACCTTTGATGCTTTCCTTCGAAATTATTATAACACGTCAGAAAGGTTAGTACCAAAATTCTCTAAAGAGAAATGCACCTTGTGCTAGTTCTTATTCTTTTCCTTCTCCCACAATTTTCCATTTTATAACCTTATTTTCTGGACATTTTGAATTGGAAAAAACTACGGTGGCAAAATCCGTATCCTGAAAGAAGATTACAATTTTCAAAGTGTTTCAAATTTGATCATTTTCGGGTTTATTTTCATGTGTTACCAATAACGAGTTACGCACCATCGCTTTCATCGTTACAATACCGGTACAATGACGTCGAGTTCCACTAACAGAATAATGGACTGGTCTTCATTATCAGAGGTGAATCCAGTATTGTGGCATGCCTTCGCCATGAAACAATCAGAGTTCTATCGGCCGCCTTCTCCATCCCGTGAGCTTTCATGATTGCACGTTGTGTAGGCTGACTATAAATTAACCCTCAAACCTAAAAAGACGGCAACTTTATTCCAGTCGCTTGGCTTGATGTCCGGCACATTGTACCGCGGTGGATGGTGATGGGGACTGCTATAAAACATCCTTACACTTGGAAGTTGCTGTTTGGCAGCCGAACTCCACATTATGGCAGATAGCTTTCAGTTGTGCGTTTGTCTGTGAAGGAAGGAGGAGGTCCTACGGAAAAGGTTTAGGAGGCTTAACTTCCGAAACTTAACGACTTTTTTTAATTAATCGACCATGGTGAAGTGTATCTTTTAATATTGTTTTATCTCTAGGGGCTGTGGGATAAGGGGTAAGGGTAACCACCTCTATTCTAGGACAAATTGTGGAGAAGGTAAGGCCTCTGGACTTGGTGAGTCAAACTTCAGAACCGTCTTCCTTCACGCGATCATAACGCTTGCACTTTAAATAAAGAAATTGCAGGACAGCGGTCCTCCATTGACAATCCTGTAGCAGCGCTGTGCCGGATCGCCACCAATGGATGGATGGAGGAGTCAGCCAACGTTCCGATATTTCTGAGACTCACGTTTTGTCAACAGCGCGCTCATGATCCAACTTAACTCGCTCGACGAGAGTTAGTATCGGCTATTCCGGAATATATATGGCACACATTACTACTGCTTTGTTATGCTCTGCGCAGTGGCACGGTCGAGAAGTACACAGCGGAAGGGTTGGGAAGGGCAAGACTTCCTCGTTCGAAGCCGCTAAGAGGTTACGACAGCTTTAGATAAATTCTATAAAAACTGTGAATTCCAAATTTCTAGATCAGGTTCGAGTTGTAACGTTAATTGCTGTTCGTTCCGATGTGAGAGATGAGAAGTCGACATTTATCACGAAGCCGTACGGATTTCCAGTGGTGTGAAGGAGCAAGTTCTTGGCCGCTTCAAAACTTTTAAGTGTCTTTACTTTTTCGGCAGCTTTCAGGGCGCGGGTGTATCAGCCACTACATTTTATACAAACACATTCATTTTGACAAGAGAAAATGCACCGAGCATATTCCTGAATCTCTTCGGTAATACCGTCGTTATTTTTTTATCAAGAAAAAACTTGTGACTACATGGATAATAATAAAAAAATAGAAATTTTATCCTTGTTTCTGTAAACCTTGTAAATCTTGTATTCAAGATACATTTCAGCCTTTCAATGTAGACGATTATTCAGCCAAAGCTTCCCATTCTCATTACCCTTGTCACCAATGCCTGAAGATGATTTGGTAGACTGTCTGGCTCTTCTAGTTTCTAGTCATGGCGGGATAATCTAACCCGTCAAGTAATGCAGACCTACAGTACTCCTTCGTTAAGTTTTTTAGTCTTTTTTTCAGCTAGATTAAAGTATCTCAAAGTATCTTCGTAAATTTTGATGTATTCACTTAAAATAAGTAAATTTGATATGTATTATTTACAGTAAATTTGGCTTGAGTGGCATATCACAAGAAAGCGCATGCAATATCTCAAATAATGCACCCAAGATAAAACATTACAAATGAACTCATGACATAACTTGTGCATTCAAAGCTAGACTTTATGCGAAAAATAGTAAGTCAAGTCACATATCAAATCAAATCAAATTCAATTCAATATCTTATTTCTTATATATTTCTTATTTTCTTGATATTGTATTCATGTTCTTCGAACACTGAATACAGTATTTGTATTTGAAGAGAAAGATTTTTTATTATTTTATTATTTTGTCTCATTTTTTATTTTTTTATTTGTCTTCTATCTAGACCTCTTCAGCAGCATCATCTTTCAAGTGCTACACATTGAACTTAAGAATTTTTATAACATTGTTTTCAATATACAATGCTTATTGTAATCATTAAATTTTATTTTATGTCAAAGCATTAGTTTTGTGATCAATAAAATACTCGTTCCCCATCAAAGTTTGAACACTCACTTTGTTTGCAATCCTTAAGCTATGATATTAATCCAAACGTGTATTTAAAGGTATAAGTCAACCAAAATTTATATTTCTGTCCATTTTCCAAGTTTAGACAACTTTGGTTATGAAGATTTTGAAATGGAATTATAGCCTCGATTCCATTGAAAGTCAAAGATTATAGGAAAAGAAGAAGTATTCATGTTGAGAATGTGAATCACTTTCGTTGATTTCAAGTATGATTGAAAAATGCACGGAAGCAAAGTAATTGAGCACAATTTGAAGAGTAATGATTATATCCTACATCTTTTATTGAGACTTGATCGTTTTTAGTGGACTCGTCGGCATCGTTTCCACCCACAATCATTTGAGCTTTAGTGTGCATTTTAATCTAGTACATTAATTTTGGGCGTAGTTTACAATCCTTCTAAACCTCTAATAGGTGTACAGCGAAGATGGTCATACTTGTCAGTGCAATAATTGCTTACTTTTCGAGCCAATATGAACTCTTGGTCTCTGAAGATTTATCATACTAAGGAATCTTAGTCATGATAACCACTCAGATTATTTTTAAAAAAAACCTTTGATGGCTTTGAATAGTAAACCTTTATGCTAGTAGATGGAATTGACCGTAAATATCACATCATTTAAGCAAACTCTCTTAGCTAGTAATTCATGGAAGATGAAGTTTAAGCCACAACATATTTGTTGGAAGAGGATATTACTGAGTGCAATTCATTCTAGAAAACCTCTTAATGAATCTTATTATGATAGCTTTGCCATTTTATTTTGAATGTTTATAAATATTAGATCAAATGATATATATATATATATATATATATATGGAGTTTATTATTTTTCTATTTCTAAGTCTTGTGATTTATTCTATCATAACAAAGGATAATTCGGGTTTTCAAATGAATAATACTAGATTCAAAAAGTTTAAATAACCTGAAATTATCTTAGCTAGTCACATTTGAAGATCCAAATACGCTTACATTGATCATTTTAAGTCATAAAGCTTATTTTTTGAATGAGAATAATATAAGTTTCTCATTCAAAATTTAAGCTTTATGATCTTAGATGATCAATTGATGTATGCAAGTACCCTACTTACACTACATTTAATGTGTGGTAAAAAACTTAAATTAATGTATCATTATCTACATCATTAGTGTATGCTCACATACTCATATAAAGATTTACTTGCATTTAGTATACTATAAATTTCATGAATGTATTTCCAAATTTATTGTTTGCATATAGATTTGTTAGTCCAAGTTATATATATATATCCAAGACCTGTGTGATGCTTATTTTATTTTTTGTAATATAAAGGCATTTTTATTAGCTTTTGAAACCCATTTTTGTCAATGTGAAGGTTCATTTATAACAGTGTACATGATATCATTTGAGAAGGTAAAATTTGATGAAATATATACTTAGCTTATTTTTTAATTGCAATGCTATAAATAATAATTTGATGTTATATTTTTTCATGAAGACACAATGTATTCCACTGTTTGGATTCAATCAGGTATTGTTTTTATATTAGGCCTAAAAGTGTTAGAACAAGGTAAGCTGATTTGATTTTAGGTAAATCAAAGCTCATGTAAGGATAAAATCAAAATATATGTTGTACAATTCAAGCATTATCTATACAGGAAGGTTTTTGACAACGTAGCCTTTCACGCGATGGAATATGAACAACACCGGAAGGAATCAATTTCTATCCCCAGGCACTCCACATTATCTCCCACATGGAAAAAAACTCTCGCATCACGAAATAACTGCTCAAACTTGATTCGGAAGGTGTGCATTCCCTGAACACACCGGTTCATGCGGTGCTCAAGCGATTCTGTAGTGACTAGACAGTGTTCTCTTCCCATAACCTCCTATTGGGAGGTTGTCGTTAGCGCTGTCTCGTATGGTGATATTGAGGCTTAGGCAACATTCCATAGAACGGGTGACTGGAGATCAAATGGCTTTGGTTGTTTGGTGTTTCATTCTCCAGAATGTTTTGTCTTACACTGACTTAGTCTTCCTGACGAATATGCTTATGATGAGCATGATTAGCTCACAGCAGAGTGTTGAGACTTGAATATGGGCTACCATTCGAGCTACATTATAGCCTTCAGCGCCACCTACAAGACAAAACGGAAGAAGCTAAATGGTACTTCTCTGGGACAGGTGCTCGCTGCCTCTTGTATATTATTCTCTCATGCGTGAACTCGACCCGGAAAAGTGCTTCCAGGCTGATTCAGTTGTGTAAAGACTTGGTGTCCTTAGTTAATGGAAGTATCGGGGATTCCCCAATCTAAAGTAGATACCGAACAAGTCGGCCCACAGTTTTAGGCTTTGAGGTCGGAGTGGTTTATGCTGGATTTGCAGTTTTGGCCGGCGTGGTGGCTCGGTGGGAGGCAGATATGCAGCGATGGGCACGACCGGCAAGCTTTGACGGGACTGGATAGATTGCATACATTCATTTATTGTGCCATGTGAATTTGATGTCTTACATCACAAGGTCCTAACATGACTGTATGCCATTGATGTTGTAGTTTTGCATATGGGGGTTGATGTGATTGAAATTTGATCGTTAATGTTATCTCTGTGTCGACTATGGTTTCACTTCTAGCCGTTTGGAGTAGTGTAGCACACACACTATGAAGATGCTATTCCGACAAAGAAACAGAGTTTATGTTCTAACCATATTGGACATCGAATCAACATATTTCAAATGTGTGACACTTATTATACTTTGATTCCATAGTTCAATTTTCAGGTAGACTAATTAGGATTTGTAAGTGATGAAGACTCTCGTCAAATATATTCTATAGCTTTTTGAGACTATGTTCTAATGTCCATGTTTATTCCAAAGACTTCCTTCTGCACTTCATATCCAGCTTTGTTGTTGTTGATCCTTATAGCGAGATCAAACACTTGTATGTTTAAAATGTGTTAGTTTATGTAGTATATATATCCCATTGTGATGCTTCTTGAGTCTAGCCCCACATGATAAAACCTTCATCCATTTGCAACTATATGGGGTAAAATCATATTTTTTTCCTTTTAACTTCAGGACTACCTCTCTATGAAAGACTTGACAGGGATTCTCCTCTTAACAAAGAGGGTATCGAACACAAACCTGTACTCCAACATTTCCATCCCGTAGCAATGTAGAAGCATAGTTATTACCATCATATAGACTAACCTAAACCGAAGAACATGGTTCTAAAGGAGAGGGGGAGAAAGAGCTCCATGAAGTGTATGGCAGTCTAACATCTCATAAAAATATTTTCTCACTCAACCCTTCGGAGCATTCTACGAAGAAGTATTGCTCAGTTTACCCCTGTAATGTTTTAAAGGTCCATTAAGAGATCCCCTCAATTGAACTTCGAAACAATCCTGCATGGCCTGATATCTTGAATTTGACAGTAACCTTACCGTGAGAAGCAGGCTCAAATTACTCCTATAATAATCTAGGGGTCCACATGAATGTTCAATGAGGTATCTCCGGAATGAACGGTCAAAACAATCCTGTATTGTTGATATCTTGGACTTGAGACTTACCGCCTTATGTACAAAATCCTTGCGTGCATGTTCAAACCACGATAACAAGTGGGCTCCAATGCTCAAGCTAGGTGCCTCGGTCGATGACCTTACAAGAGCTATACAAACAAAGTACGCTTCCTATATATTGAGAAGCTGAACTTCTAGAAACTTTCGTGATGAAGCAGAGGAAAGCAAGAATTATGTGCTCATATGTATTCTGTAAGAAGCTTCAGCAGCTTGGAGGCACAAATGAAAATGTATTTTACGAACAGGAACTTAAAAGCTCGTCAGTAGTGTCTGGGATTCTGTAACGTACTGGATTTTAATAAGAAAACCATTCCGTACCATTCAGGATATTTCTAGGATTGGGAGTAAGACACCCCTTTATATTTTGTCAGATGGATCTGGAAGTATTTACCAGAAATATACTCCTCACGGTGAACAGCTTGTTTGAGAAACACACTTCCAAAATGTGGCAACTGATGATACCTCTGTGCCCAGGTGACAATCGCTTTTATTGCTGTTTTAGGATTGTCTATCGCAGAACTTGTGGGCAGGGCAGAATATCTCCGGTTTTATAAACTAGACTCGTGGGTCTGTTCTTATTGTCCGTACATAAAGTGATGACCTCATCATGATAGCATGGAAGATCATTTTAAAAAACGCACATCCTCCTGACTTTTCAATTGTGATGAATGATCCTTCATGGTGACTTTATGGGGCAAAAGTTGTTGCCTTCCACCCGAAGTTTTTACAAATAAGTATGCTAGATACTCCTCCAGAAAAATCTGTCAGCGACATTGCACATGCAGTTTGATTATTAGGTATAAAGTTTCACAAACACGAGATAAAAATAAATTTTTTGATCATTTTAGTACTCAAGGACAATAGCTGGCATGCTAGCTAGGTTGCTCAGTTACATGTTCATGGGAAAGCTGTAAACCTGAATGTGGAATACATCGTCATACGATTCAAATTTCATTGAGCGTATCCAAATTGCCCCCTGATTCATCTCGCCCACACATGTATTTCGAGACGGTTTAGTAGTTGAGACAGTGAATGACGCCTGCGAAACGTCAGTATTTTCGCTTGAGTGCAAAGGTACAGTGAGCGACAATGTACCAAGTGATAAGAATGTGTTATCATGATTACCCAAAAGCAAATCACGTTATCACCAACCTTCCTTTGTGTTCTTCGTGGGGTCTCAATTGCTTAGATGCTTTGAAGACATGCAGCTCTGCTATTTCATTTTTCCCCGTCTACTTTCTCCCGTGGATATTTATGTTTGAACAGCACCAAACTCAGGCTTGAATTTGTGGACATCTCTCCTCGGAACTTGGGCCTGCCAGTTGATGGCGTAGGGTATTGTCCAAACTTACCGTGAGTTTCAATAATCAGTTGGCGTCGAGGCGCAAGCTTCCGTCATCCTCGTACGTTTATTTTCTCCTGTATATGTGAATGACAAGTTTCCCGTTGCTTGCTTCTCGAGGCGATGGGGCACATGGAGTGGGGAAGGAAGGTATTTCGGTGATCTCGCTCATATTCCATGCTAATCGGCTGTACGTGACCTTGAACGAAAAAGTCTTTGAAAGGGAAGACTTCGTCATGCTTGTGCTTGAAGACTTTTCATGGCCGCGAGTACGTGAACAATATCACCACGACTCCTCTGTGAGACGCAGTGACATACACGTGGAGACATTGGTTAGCAAATGGTTGGTATGACTGCGTGATGTTCAACGATCAGGTAACTTGGTGAATTTTTCCGAGAGATAGCCGCGTCACTCGAAGGGTGTATGCAACAAATACGCAGTTCTCGAGATGTCTTCATAAGAACCTGTATGGCTGCGTCTGTTTCTGCACTTGGTTGTATTCTTACTAGTGGATAACTCAAGGACTCGAGGAGCAGTGGACATTGGCTCAAGTTACCTGTTCAACATCCGCTGTTGTAGTCTAGTCTTCACAGTTCGTACAAGTACAGTCTAGTCTTCCACTGCCTTGGGTGTGCTGACAGAGCCAATGATGTCTTCAGCTGATGCTCCTACTTTTCGTCTTCTACTTTTCTCTTCCGAGCCTATGACTGACTTTGGGCAGGCTTTTGAAATCAGCTACTTCGACTGGCATGCGTCTATACTTGTCACAACCACAATGAATATGCCAGATTTTAGCTATGATTAATCGGCAAGCTCTTCAAAGGTGGATATGTAGAACGCGAGATCTGATCAACTATAGAAGTGGACGAGATGTTCGAGTTTATTGAGAAGAATTTTTGTACAGGACTAAATTTTTGTAGCCCAAGTTCAATGTGAACGAGTTTTACAAATATATTAACAGAAAACCATGCTGGACTCACGAACCATCATCACACAATTTGAAACTCAATAATTGATCTCGTAAAGGAAAGTCTACAAAGCAAACAAGGCACATATAGCTCGTTGGTGGCTCACGAAAATGACAGATCACTCATTGATCTGGTGCGATGGCATCAGGCTCAAAAACTCTTGCTTCTTTCTCTTATACTCTCCGAAGCGAAGAAAGAAGTAGTCCAGATAATCGAAGTCAATGCTCGAAAATTTAGCCTGCATGACCAAGTATAAGTGAGAACACATCCGACTCTCCTGAACGTAGAAGGATGGGTAAAATTGCTCGACTTAGAAATGAACTCAAAGCTAGATCACTGAAGAACACCTATGAACTAATGATAGCCAGCAATATACAAACATTATGGATATACAATAGAAACATTATGGATATAAGTGCTTTTGCAGTTCCTTCTCATTCTTAGATTATCAACTTGGTTATCTTGGCAGGAAGACATGGTCATTTTCGATTGCATGTGATTTGGGTTTAAAATCAAGTATGTTGTGTTTCGTATGAGATGATGGGATTAGCAAGAAATTACCTGTAGAATTGCCCAAACAGCCCAATATATATGAGAAGCAAGTGCATAGCAGCTGGTCTCGATGTATAACTTGCTTAACTCTGCTTCAGTGATTTCGACCTGGCGATTGAAAGACACATTGACAAATATAGTAAGCAGAACTTCGAGAAATTACTACTTCCATGACCTACATACCATTACCACACTTCTGTCAAAAACCTAACGTTGAAATGCTGTAAAACTACGTCTCTCAAGTCAGCTGAAGCAAAGTCCAGACAATTTTACCCTTTCCGCCCTCTATTCAGGTCAAACAGAAACCTCGACAGGTTCCGCTATATGGACTTGTTGGATATCATTTGCTTACAGTATCTTTACAGCCAGGAAATTTTTCTAAATATGTGAGACTTTTCAATTCTCTACCAAAACCCTAAATACACATGATCCACATGAAAGGTTCGAATACCTTCACCTTCTTCGAGCTCAGACCATTCAAGTAGTGGCGAAAGAAGAAATACTGAACATCTTTGCTTGGATACCTGTAGGCAACATCCATGGACCCTGAGCATGAGTATCAGATCGGCCTGATATTTATCAGTGCTTTTATCGGCTAGGTTCTTTTCAGTATGAGTTTGGAAGATAAACGAGCAGACATGGGATCCCAAAAGTAGGAAATCTTACAAGCTATAGTCGCACTCAAATCCGGCATACTCATTGAAGTGGTTCGCAATGTCATAGCCCCGGTAGTTATAGCAACTATATTCAAAATCTATAAGATACATCTTATCTGCAATCCAAATAAGTGGCAAAGGTAACGTAAGAGAAATCACAGAAGTACATGGCAATTATATTAAACGATGATGCCTAGCGAACACGGACGAGACAATCGAACAGCTGAACTAAATTCGCAGACCCAGCAATCCCGGCATACTCGTTTACTTTGTCTTTCAGTCTTCAACGATCTACACGTGCTGAGACTGGAGACTCTCGTTGGTGATTCATCTACATGGAAAGGCAAGGATAAAACACCTGTCTCATAGTTGAACATGACATTCCCAGCAAGTAAATCGTTGTGCGCAAAAACAATTGGAGCATCCAAGGAGTCGCATGCCCTCTGCAAGAAGGTTGCAATTCATGGGCAGCGTTATCTTTCATGAGAAGATGAGTGATACCTCGCAGCCAACTGGAAAGAAGACTCTACAGTGAGAACTAGATAAGAATCGAAATGATCTGATACTCCCCGAGTATGAAAGTAAATCTAGATTACAGATTTTCAACGGCTGTTCGTGTTCCAGTCAGGATGCCAAATTTAGCTACGAACAGGAAAAATTTCATCCATGTAAGAATACTCTACCTTGAGTTCACCAATCTCCTCGAGAAGCTCTAGAAATGATATACTTAAAAACGTCTCCTGCTTTTTGGGATCTTCAAATGATATAGTTGATGCTGCCAAACTAAGTCGAGTCAATATAGCTTGTGGATCCAGCAAGAAGTAGAAATGGAAAAACGGAAGCTTATCAAACAAGGAGAACAGTCGCCAGTAAAGGAAAACATTCATAATTCAGACGAGGACAGCGACCTGAGTTCATAAACACCAAGATTGTTCATGTACATAGGATATCGAAATTGATATAACAGATCTCACAAAAGATTTCAAAACAAATTTGTGCTTGTAGTTTGAAGCTGAAAAGGACAAGATTTGAGACGTTCTTTAGCTATCCGCAAGAACAGAGAAACGATGTCAGCCATCCCACGGAAACCTATGGACAAATATCGACGTTTACACTAACGGCAGCTCATGATGCCGATTTAGTTCACAGTGGAAGTTAATTTTTTTTCAGGTGTATTGACGCTCTCAGAAAGGTTCAGCCATATCATTTTTTACAAAAGTGAGAACTGAGGACATCTACTCTGTAATAAGGAGACGGCCTACTCAATATTCATACAGATAGTGCCGTCCACGACGGTACACATCAACCTCTGCATTAACATCGTTAGGAAAAATCCCCCAAAACTTGCACAAACAGACACTTGGTTGATTGACCAAACAAACCTTCTGACATAAACTTGGAGATGTCTACCCAAAGCTGGGGCTCTTTGGACATTGGTATGTCTGCTTCGTGAAAATTTCGAAGTTCGCGCGCGATGCGAGCCGCTATCTTCGGTGTAGATATATCTGCAAGGACAATTTTTGTTAACCCTGTTGGATTGTATAGAAACATTTAGATTTGGTACTCACATGGACCAAGCAGAATTTACCTGAAGGTGTAAGTGTGCGGGCTACGATGAATGATTGCACCATACCATTTTCAAATAAACCTATTAGCTCTGCTCCAAACCCGGAGGTAGAAAGATGGTGAATAGCCTGCAGAGAGGATCGATTTCTTACATTTGATTAGAAACAATGAAAAATCGTCGTCTGCTTCACCTTGGTTCTACAAGCTTAGCTTGTGTAAACAATTTCGAAGGCGAAATAGAGACGAGTTTGCACAGTAAATCTACAAATTCCAAGAAGTGCAAGATGTACTTCTTATGTGAACTCTAGCCTTACAGGGCATACAACCTCTATTAAATGGAGCTTCCAGTACATACTTGCTGCAATGAACATTAGAACCTACCAAGGTGAGAGACAAGTGCTGGAAAGGAACCTAGCTACTCCATAAAATTCGTGCAACGAATACGGAAAATAAAACTGACCAGAAGCTCCCGTTGACGGTCGATGACGGTCTCCGTGTTAGGACCGAAAATACGTACTGTAACGCTTTCCAGCGATATACCATTACTGCTCACTGCTACTTTCAATACTGATAAGGAAGCAGCGCAGCTTGTTAGCACTCACACACCACCGATTGAAGATAAACAACGCTGACACAGAGCTGATAATTCATAATCAGCTGTCACTGGAGGAAGCCTCGTAATCCCACCTCCCTGACAGAAGAGAGTGGCATCAATCGCGGGAGATGGATCATGATTATTAAGTTCTTTCATTAGAAGCGAAATCATAGGCTCGGCTAATCGCTTACCTGAAGCTCAACTGACATATCAAAGGGCTTTCAAAGAGCTTGAGACTCACAGAGATTCGTGATGCCACCAGTGATGTGGGAAACTTGCATGACGTGTTCGTCCACATTGGCCCACTCCTTAACCACAGCTTTGCAAACTTGCCTGGAGACATTGCCCTTTAGCTTAAATATCGAGTCCTCACGCAAATTCACTCGCGACTGAACGGACCAGCTGGGAAACATCAATTTCCCGGAGGAACAGATCTCAAGGGCTAACTGAAGGGTGATCACCAGCTAAGAAGGGACATGGCGCCAAATGCACTAAGACAACGTACCTGACGGCAGAGTTCATTGTCTCGGTATCTTTAGTGAGATCCACATGAATTTTGCACCGGGAAACCTCCATGGATCCCGACCTCTCTCGTTAACGACAGAAAAACGGGGGAATATCTGGGTCCTGAATTCAATCAGTGTTTCACTACCCTGGAAAGTCCTCTGTCACATTCTTCGATTCGAGAATCTGTATGTCACGGAATAATTTCCAATTTGGAGCAACGGGGCCAGGCGCTACGATTCTCAGAGGAACTCCGGCCGCATCATCTCCATGAACGATTCAAATATATCATCCACAGTTCAAGGTACTCGAACTCAATTGAATATCCAGCCAAGGAAAAACATCCCATTGGCGCTTTCCGTAACGAGGAGTTGGAATTTGGAGCGCACGGGACCTCAAGCTCTTAGGGCTTCAGCTGCCCGGATTTATATTTCATTTTGAGTGTACGCTTACTGAGTGGTGGGTCCATACCCTTCCATTGGTGTACAGAGTCAGCCCATCCCGAAACCTCGGACGAATATATCCCAGCCTGGCAGGCAAGCGAATGAAACAGTTGCAGCATTCGAACTTTTGTCGAGAAATGCTGTCGTAGGGATCACCTTCCTGCTGTCTTGTGTAGGTTTTGGACATGTGTAATGAATCCTATCCCTGGCATGCATATTAGACCCTCCGATCGTTTCACTTGAACCTTCAGCGGTGCAGCAGGCTCTCAGGCTAAACTCAAATTCTCAGAGCTTCCGAAGTCCGTCGTCTTCTGGTCAAATGATCAACTCAACCACAGCTCCACTCCATTGGCCACGATTCTGAAACCAATGATGAAAAAGATACATTGTTTTGTAGCTTGTGGATTAGTGGAAGGACACCTCTCTGACCGCCTCATTCCATGAAACAAGGCCCAAGTCACATGAGCGCAGCACGTCTCGCCATCATTCATCGCTCCCTAGCTTGAGACAATGCTCAGTTTCAAGATTTAGACGTATCCATGAGGTTGTCATTGTCATACTACTCACCATCAAATTTGGGAATATTTTACTCTGGGGTTCCCAACAAATTAACCTTATTCCTTTGAGAAAATCCTCGCAACAGAACCTTTTCGTTGTACCAACATGCGACGCATACCCCACCAACCAGATGGGTCGGATTCTGGAATGGGGGAAATGTCAACTCATACGTCGACAAGAGGTAATAAATAGCAGCGGGACATCTTTAATTCCGGTATCATACCTTCAAAAATACTTCACCATCAAAGCAGGTGAACATTCATCCTCAGACAAGTGTGGTACGTAATGTACTAAAGAGTACTCATTCCTGGCTGGACGCCACAGAGTTCGCAATGCTTCTCTATGGACTCGGACGGCGTACTTGTGCACTTGCCATTGCCACGAAATGATGTTGTGCGGGTCAAAGTCGAACCGTGATTGTGATCAACCGGAACTGTACCCCGGTACTTTGCCGCATGTAGGGATCCGAGACCGAAAACTTGGACCAAGTTTACGTTTTCGACCGAAATGTTTCCATAAAAATTATTGTAGCCGAATATTTCGGCCGATAGCTGATTAGCCGACGACTAGCCGGCTAAATTTGAGTCCCTAGCCGCTAGCCGCAAGTTAGCCGGCTACGTGACTATGCCTAGCCGCATGTGATACTGTACCGGTCCACTGAATCTCTGATGACTGGAAGACCTCATGACGATCATGTAAACCTCATGTCGACCTCTATAAGCAGCAAAGTGCACAGATTCGAGCCCGCCCATATGGAAAGGAAAAGTCGAGGTGAACATGCATGAACAAGAAGAAGCTCGACTATTTTATCACCCATGAGTTTTTGATCACGTTGAGTTTGAAGATTTAAATCTTCATTGTTATTGTCATATCGATGCAATCAAAATTCACATCAATTTTCATCAAGAAGTTCACACATCTACATCATCTTCATTTTTTCATGTGTGTGAGTGTGATCTTACTCTAGACAAGAGAGATTACACGCTCTTGGGTGATAAGTCGCCGATCTTCTTGTTCATAGAGAGATCTTACTCTAGATGAAATGGAAACTCACATCACTCGATGCTCATTCGAAAAACAGATACTAACTACCGACAGTACCACTACGGATGTGATGCTTGCGTTCATTTTGAGGATGGATAACTCACATGTATCGATTGTTGGTATGTATTATATTCAACAAGGATTAGAACAATTTTTTACTTTTTTTTGAGTTTAACAAGTTACCATTTTGAAGTGTTTATTGTAGAAACTACATGGAGCATCATATTTGGGGGCTCATTATCCATCTTCTTAGATGAGAGAAAAATGTCGCGGGAACCAACAAGTATAATGATATCTACATAGGTCATATCATTAGCATTATATGCAACTATTGATGGATCTAGATATCGACGCTGGCGTTTACATGTGATAAGATGTATTATTAATCTCTAGCCTATTGTGTAACTTATTTTAGACATCATATTTCAGTTGTATACATAGAGCCCGCGTCAACATTCTACGTAGGAAAGAACCACATTAGACGATCCAACATCAAGTGCTCATGTTGATCAATTAACTATAAAATCGCATGTGTTCTATGACATATTTGAGTGCAGATTATTAAGAGCCTTATCCGTTTATCGCTTTAAAGGAAGCGTCACGAGAGTTGTATGATGAGGACAATGAGAGATGGCATTGGAACTAGCAAAATGAATGATAGACGAGAAAAGCCAGTGGTGCACACGATCCATAACCCTTTATCGTCGCAGGAATGATCGCTGCTGGATTTCTTCTAGTCTTCTTTGATGAAAGTAAACTAACAACTGAAAGCAAACATGGACATGGATGAAACAACACATTCAATGAGGGTTATGTGACATAACCCATTGTAATGCTATGGGGACGTAACTGATGTCCTAATAGCATTACAATGAGAAATATGACCACTCAAGTTAATGTAGCTAAACCCTAAAACGCGTATTTCATAGTGAATAATACATGAAAAATCACCCCCTCACCAAACATGTAGCTGTATCATGTATAGATAAAAATGAAAACAAGTTGATTGCTTTTTATTCAAGAAATAAATAGAGCAATACACTTTATCTCTATCACGGTAATCTAGCGCACAAACTTGCTGAAGTTAGTACGCACACATCCATACACTTGCATACAATCGCTAATTGATAATTCTCTACAGGGAGGGAGGTTGCTCTTCGTAGACAAAGAAGTATATCCCTGGATCCCGATCTCAGGCCTAGTCCTGTCCTAGGTTACACTTTTCGAACCTTGGGGACCAGATGTAAAGGATAAATTAAATTATGAAAAGGAGCCCAATGGCAAGCAGAAAGACGGCGAGACCCTCTCGAGCCGCCCCATTATATTATTATATTCTGCGCATATCCCCGTGGTTCAACACAAATCCATCCTCGAGAAGGTCTTATGGAGATACAGATTAGATTCAGATGAGGATTAGATTCAGCTGCCTATTCCTGCTCAACACACACGAACAGCAACATTTGGGCATACTGTAAATCTTGTATGTAACGGCTGGGGAGCGTCAGCGTCCTTCCCTCCTTAGGAGATGATCGTGATAATCATCACAAAACCGTATTTTCCGGCAGTGGAGTCTTCAGGAGATGCCCAATTTGTGAAGCCCCTGGGAACGCTGCGGGACAGTGTATGTACTGCGGATGAAGGCCACTTTTGCAGCTTGTAGATGTAGGCGACAGCTCCAGCACCGCTCTCGTGAGTGGCAGTGATTAGAATCGGAGACTCTCTTGTCTGATGAACGAGACCAGAGTGGAATCGAATTCGGGAATATGAGCAAATTCGCAGGTGCGAGATGAGCTTCGTCGCCACCGCAGAAGAAGAGACAGAGTTGTTCACTCATCCCTTGTTCACGTCTTGTGGGTTTCCCGTGCGCAGCGATGCGCATCATAATTCACTCAAGAACTGAAATTCTCTGCGTAACTGCCAGCCGACGAGCGCCACTCTTTCCTTATGAATCGAGCCCAAGCCTTGGGTGTACAGCGGCACGTCTGATGCACAGGTTCTTCTTTCGCATTGAATTTTATGACGGGGCTCGTGCAAGAACAAAGACTGCAGACTGAGAAGTGCTAAGAGAGACATTTTGGTGTCTCAATATTGCACCCGAGCAGATTTTTTCAAACTCCAGGAATTCTGCCGGAGAATGACTTCCAATTTCTTCGCGGTTCCCTAATCATTTCAATAATCAGCGTCGTCATCATCTCATATCAGGACGTGAGAGTTGTGCTTTTCTCATCCGTTGGTAATCACAATCACCAATTGGCAGAATTGTTAGTAACCACCTGAAACTTAGAAGGAATTTACTCAGTGAACGGGAACGAGCATACGTAACGGCATATGTAAATTGCTGCAAAACCTCACTCAACCGAAGTACTCCTTTCTGAAGTTGTATCAGACACTACACCACTGCACGGTCCTTGCTGCCCGTTTCATTTTTCTCTCTGGTTGATACGTTTGTGGAGCACTTATGACAAGTCACAAGTAGAAGTCTGATCTTCTCCTGACAGATTGACAAGTGTACAAATTAGTGCATGGGCCCTGCAAATCCTGAGAACTTGCGAAATTTGTGAAGAGCTTTCGGTGCCTCGAAGAAGGGTCAGGTTGACTTCGTAAAATTCCAAATCGAGGTCCGATGGAGTGGCTTTCGGGAGTCTAGCGCCCAGTCCAGCCTAGGTGGCAGCTTCAACTGCTCCTGAATATGAAGATTCTTAGCTGCTATCTGCTGCTGGCTGTTCTTCTCGTCTCCGTCGTGCCGTGGTTGAGGTAAGATTTCCTTTGACCTTTTCGCCATGATTGCTGCTGCCACTTCGACCATCATTTGCGGTTGATGAACGAAAGTGCCTGACGATAGTCCATGCTCATGACTCCATGGTTTCACAGTTTTGACCTGTCTTCTGAAACAACTTTTAACTTTCCACTTCCTCTTCGAATTGCGAGATATGAGCACAGAAGTACTTCATGCTCTTCCAAATCTAGTAGTAAGGTACTTGTGTGCTCATAACTACGTTCTGACGTCTGCAAATTTTTAGTCCGTAGTCAATTACTTTGGGCTGTGAGTGCAAAGTGAAACTTCTGTGATCGTGACCTGTCTGCTGCTTTAAACAAGACACTGATCATAGTCCAGACGTTACGTCTTCACTGATCTGGCAACTGATTTAGGCAAATTTTTTGAAGAAGTACGACATGTGCCACTTTAAGCGTAAATTGAGTTGAATGAGTGTTCTTCTGACGAAATTGTCTACAATCTTCCTGGGGATGTAGCGCCGGAAAGGCAGATTCAAGCGGGCATGACAAGGTTGTTAGATTAGCTGAAACCCCGCCCAGAGGTTGGAATTCGTACGATTCTTTTTCGTGGATCGTGACGGAAGAGGAGTTCCTCCAAAATGCCGAGTATGTTGCTGCCAACTTGTCCAAACATGGCTACGAGGTACTTTGAAATTCCCTGAAGCAGTAGTAATAGTATTTTCTCAATGTATTTAGCTCAAGTGTCCGTTGTGCCAGTTCAAGCTTAGATTATCCGGTGGCAAATTCATCAAGAAACCAGTGAATCCTGTGTGTACGTTTAGGGTATCATGGACGATCACGGAAATTACGGATACATACATGAACGGACTTTTCCATATTAGATTTCTGAAACATTTCGATGATCCCGCGACACATATAGATCCCAGCCTACGTATCTATATGTCTCGTAATATGGTTTCCTCTTACTGGAGGCTGGTTGTGGTGCTTGCAGTACGTGGTCGTTGACTTCCTCTGGTATAGAAGGTTTGAGCAAGGTGCTTCTGTTTGGAGTGGCGGCCATGAAGTCACTGATGAATACGGACGGCTTATGCCAGATCCAGGGCGATGGCCTTCAACCGTCGATGGTAAAGGATTCAAGCCAATTGCAGAGAAGGTGCATGCAATGGGGTTGAAGTTTGGAATCCATGTCATGCGAGGAATCAGCACGGAAGCTGTGCAAACTGATACTAAAATTTGTAATGCTATGGTGGGTGAGGAAATACCTGCTTGCGTATGAGCACTCTTTGTGTGGTTAGACAATGCTTTGCGTTGTCGATGTCGAATGTCTTTTTCAGATCCAATGTTTTAGGTTTCTTTTCGCAGCCATTTACGAATCTGTTAGCATTCGACAGATACATGGCATAGAATCACATTTTGAATACTCTGAAGCTTCTTAGTTTAAAGAAGGAAAAGATTATTCAGCTGTCAAGAAAGTGAATAATCTGATATGCCTTCACCGCAGGGCAGTCCAGACGGCGCCGAAGGATGCTATTGGACAGCCAAAGATGTTGCTCTCGCAGGAACAGAGTGCAGTTGGATGAAGGCTTGCTTCATGAGTGTCAATACTACCAGTGAGGGAGGCCTTGCATTTATCAATTCTCTTTACCAACAGTATGCGGACTGGGGTATTGATTTCAGTACGTGACATCATCCTCTCAGGATGCATCCTCGTCACTTTGTACAGTGTCAATTCATACTCTAGCCGAGCTTGAGTGTAAGGATTCTTTAGAAAATTCAAAGTTTCTTCCAATGACTAGACTAGTGTCCTTCTTACTATATTGCGTTCGTCGGCCCCTGTACAGTGGGAACCTTGGATTTCAATAAGAGTACTGAGTTCTCACGAAGGAGGTAGCAGAGAATGCAAACTAGCAATGTTACAACATTCAAGCAATTGATTGACTGAAGTCAATCAACTGAATTTTAGACATAAGCTTGAACACTAGTACGCCAAACCACCTAGGCTCATTGAATACTGAACTGCATGTCTCAGTAAAACACGACTGTGTATTTGGGGTGGATGACCTCAGCGTGGATGAAATTACAGCCGTATCTAAGGTTAGTTAAAGGTTGATCGTTCTTGTCAGTTGTGATCACTATCATTTTATGTAATTTGCGGGCTTGAGTTTATACCTGTATGTCAGATAGACCAGAAGACAAGAAAATTACAATGAATGTTGGATCAGAAGCCAGGACACAACATAATAGCATCTGGTTTGTTTCTTGGTGCCCATAGCTGTATGAACTGACGCAATCCTCCTACTTCAATGCAAACAGCTCCTGGAAGTAAGAGGATGTAGTAGTCTTCTCAGAAAAACTAGGGGCTCACTCATTTTGTGCACGCAGGCTATATCAAGAACAGGGCGTCCAATGGTATACTCACTTTCTCCGGGAGTACGTGCTACACCCAAAATGGCGAAAGAAGTAGCAAGTCTAACGCACATGTATCGAGTGACGAGTGATGATTGGGATTTGTGGTGGGAAGTTTTGTTGCACTTTCCTGTCGCAAGGTTAGACTCTGTAAACATCGAGCCTGGTTCAGCTCATAATTATGTTACAATATTTTTCTACTGCTTGCGTGTGGAGAGAGGTAGCATGTCAGACATCAAGCATTCACAAGTCTCCAGGTTTTGATGAAATTATTTCTGATTGTTTCATTACAGGGACTTCGCTGCTGCCGGGCTCATTGGTGCACCTGGACTTCAAGGAGGTCTTTCCTGGCCGGACTTGGACATGCTTCCTCTTGGGTGGCTTACAGATCCAGGTAAGAGTCCTCTACAGCACCGAAAAAGATAGTGCCTCAATTGTAATAGAGATGTGTTGTAGGAACAGTCACACTAACAGCCGGGCTTCATCTTTCACAGCAGCTTGCACGACGTTGGCAGTAAATGAGCAGGTCCGTTTTCTAATCATGGTTGGGAAGTCCTAACAGGTGTGAATTACGGGCCTTACAGATCGTGTTCTCTTACCAGAGCAGAACAGCGCACACAGGTATCAACAAATTGTGTTTCAAAGTAACTGAAGTATGAAGAACGCTCTGCTAATTTAGGACTGTCTAGGACTTGAGATCTTGTCTATTATGTTGGCCGCCTCCTACATTGTATTGCTAATGAATGTGTGTGCTTCTTTGGTAAAAGGTCACTCTATGGTCGATCGCAAAATCACCGCTGATTTTCGGTGGCGACCTACGAAACTTGGATCAGTGGACTTTTGATTTGATCACCAATCCTACAGTTCTGGAGATGAACGCACACAGCACCCGCAATCAAGAGGTATGTACGCCTGTTGTACTAGAAGCGAAGGTTCACTTGTCCAGCACTACCGTATGTCGAAAGAACATTTCTACCTGAAACAAAACTTTTCCTTCTGTAGAAGACGAGCTTTTGCTGTATTTTACACTTAGCGAGAAGTTGTCTACCTGTCTCTTTTGGCAATATTCTACTAGGCTACAGTGGTTGATGGAAAAGTGTCAGTGCATAAACTAATGAGTCTTGAACGAGTTATATTTTGTAAACTTTATACGGACAAGTATCTGAAAAGCATCAAGTGCCATATCCTACAGTTCCGAAGTTCGCCAGCCGGATTCTTGCCAGTAGTCACACTGGAAGATTGTGTGTCAGCAGCATCAACTCAATGGAAGTTGCAGAGAGGGAAGGACGACCTGATGGAAGTTTGCTGGTCTCGTTCATCTCGACTGAGATACTCAAGGGGGCGGCAACAGCCAGTGCTGACAGGCTGTTTAAATTGGACAAAAACGCCTTGGATGCACAAAGAAACGTGAGTTAATCTGTAACTTTGACTGGTGGTTTATCTGATGAGTTTGTCAGTCCTGTACCACTATGTACAATCAAACTACCGAAGCATCAATCGGGTCCAGTAGTTATCTCTTTAAGCAGTTAAGAAGAACCAAGTATGAGAACAAAGAGGAAATGGCCACTTTTCAACCGATTACATCAGTAGATGCTAAGAGAATTGGTCTGTTTTCCATCTATGAGCCTATTTTCTGAGAGGATTCTCGATGTAATCATCGAATTACAGGAGCGTCAAGAGCGAGCGAGGTCTCCTCTGGAGAGAAGCTGGACTGAGAAGAATATGTCTGGACGCCGACAAGTCATTGACAGATGCCATGGAAGGCTCTGCTGGTTTTCGCCTTTGTAACAACAGCGCAAGCCAGGTCGGTTGGAAATCATTGAAACTTTACAACAGCTCTTTTTCCCTCATGTTTTTTATGTTCCTCTGCTGTCAAGGAGGGTCGGTTATTTTCACGCCCACTGGAGATAGATTGCACATAGAAAGGACAGGCTGCCCTCGGCAACATCAAGATGTACCACAATGAAGGGGTTGACGAGCATCAACGGTTTTGTTCCCCCACGCACAGGACCTTCCTTCGGGAATCATCAAGAGAAACAATCTGACTTTGCACCCTACGATCAGGTTTGGCACTTGACACCAGAGGGAAGGCTGGTCAGTGAAGAAGCTGGACTTTGTGCAGCCGTAGTGCAACCTGAGCAAGGATGGCGCATCTGGGTTGCCCGCGGTACATCAGGTGAGACTGAACTTTTGCCGGTGGCCCTGAGCTTCTTTCGTTGCTCCTGTCAGTCCGAGATGAGGTTTAACATAAACAAAGATTCGAACACACACATGCGAAGCCTTCTGATCGCACCAATGACAAATACAATGCATTAGAATCAACCCCATTTACCTGACCTAGGGTCAGGTAAATCGGGTTGATTCTAATGCATTGTCTATTGTTTATGTCTGTGAAGACGGTCCATGCTTTGGACCGTCTTCAAAGAGAGGACGTTGCCTGCTCCAATTTGATCACTTAGAGGAGGACTTTTTAAGGAAAGGTAAGGGAGGTGGAAGGGGTCAGCAGATTGCGAGACTCAGTACTGTACCCTCTACGGTCGTTAGGAATCAGGGATTTACTTCATAAGTCAAGTCAAACTGCCTGTTACCACACTTAAAGATATTTGCTTCCTAATGGATCTTGTCAGGGCAAGGCTATGTGGCATTTTTCAACCTGGGAGAAAACCGGCAAAATCTGTCGGTACCTTTGGAGGATGTTTTGAGGAAACTAGATCTCTCTACTTCAGGAGGCAGCGTGCTGCATCAGGCGATAGATCTCTGGTTACGGAAGATTTGGAAGCAGTTATTTAGGACTTTCGATTACCTAGGAAGTAAAGTCTACCCACAGCAGAATATCGGGTCCCCTGTGACTCTGAGGCGAAGCGAATGGACTTGTATCTGTATCGATGTATGGGAGGGAAAACCGCAGCCTCGAGGTATCATAACGAGCTCCGTTACCGCTTCAGTTGAAGGCCATGGAACAACACTAATAGAACTGACGTGCGTACGAAGTCCCCGACATAGTCAAGCCACCATTGCGATGCTCAGTGTTTTATTCCTCCCATTTATCATGACTGTAGTCGCTTATCTTGTTCCCAGAAATTTCTGGAATAAGCTCATGTCTGGACGTGTTGGAGTCAGTCCAATTGAAAAGGCTCTTATAGGTGGGTAGATAGTGAGACCTCAGACCGTGAGTTGTGAGTAGCATCCTCTAAGGCAATTTTCAAACGAGGAAAAATCTGGACAGATAGAACAGTAGACGTAGCAAAACAGACTTTTCCGAAATGTATATCTCCACTCATGGACAGCCATCAAATCCAATAGCTCTCCTGGTGTTGTTTCAACAACACCAGGACGAGAGCGTATTCATGTGTTGTTTCAACAACACATGGTTTGTTGAAATAGGATATTTTCTTGTCTATGCATGTTCCTGGTTTATTTGCACTTCGTACGTCAGGGTAAATCAGGCATCTCCACTTCAGGTTCTTCTCTGACTTTTCGAACACGAAGGAGAACAATAGACGCGAATCGGAGATGCGCGTTGTCTATACGTCTGTTGTGGCCTCTTTCGGATAGCGGTTGATCTCGGTTCCGGAGAATCATGCCAGTTGCGTGGTTTTAGCTCCTTACACGAAAAGAAACCGCAGAACGTGCAGTCAATGGAATGAAGCGGGCGGTTCCAGTTGTGGCAATGGAAGCCCGGCAAATCTCGTTCCGGAGAACCCGGAAAAGGGAATTGTCCAGTGTCTGAAGAAATCTTCACAGTCCTCATTACATGGCAGTTGACAAAGCGGGTACTGCTCGGACTGGATGCTGAGTACACACGAAGGTGGACCTTCAATTTATCGCCGGCATTCATTACATGCGCGGAGGGAATGCAAACAATGTTGGAGGATGGAGCTGAAAATTAGCTCACACGTCCAGGAATATGGCAAGGATAACAATTGAGAGCAAATGCAGATTCTCCTCATAATTGAGCTAGCGAGTGACCTTGATTCTCTTGCAGGCGCGCGGCATGCGGGGAACCGTAAGCCATGGCGACTACACTTTTCGATTTTAAGAAGAAAAGTATGATAAAAAGAGAAGGAGAAAGGCAGGGTTTTCGGGACCTAAAGTCGAAGATTCAAACCACGTAAAGTTTTAGGACCACGGAGAAAATGAAAGAAAACGCTGGAGCTTCGGACTCGAGGCACAGAGAAGAGCGGGAAAGCATCCAGTGCTAACGACGGAGGTTCCAGCTTTCAACGCATTTCACTCAGCACGGATGAAAACGTTCGTCAAGCAGTTCCAACAGTGCGGTGAATCCACAACCTACCACCGTGTACATGATGATTCAGGGATAGATTGCAGAGTAGGAGCTGACAGAGAAGGTGTAATTGACTTGAGGAATTGCCTTCCTCCGGCGGAAATGTGAGCTAATTTGGAAAGCAGAGCAACGAAGGAAGAACTGCGAATTCTAGGCTGAGCACTCCCAGGGAAATGGAAGAACCTTTGCAAGAGCCTGTCGAATGGCACACATTCGGCAGAAGAATGACAAGCACAGACAGAAGGGTGAAAGCGAGGTCCGGAAAACAGATATGGAAGTGGCTCAAATTCATGGTAAGTAAATTCAGCAGAGTCATAAAGCTTTTGAAATGCGACCGCACATCCGTGACCCGCGGATGGCGACCATTCCCGATGTTGGCGAGGATCGGGCAACTCGACCTGCGGAGCGCCAAAACCAAAGTGGTCGAGCTAAAGGTCGAGCAAAGCGCCAGAACGATGGAACCGCAGCCGGAGGCCAAAGGAGAGGAGCCCGTCGCCGCACCGCCCACGAAACCGAGACGCCGCTGGATCCGACGCATAACGATCAGAGTGAACCGAAAGAGCGTTCATAAACGAGGATTGACGGAGGTCGACGCCGAGACTCGACGGGCGAGGCTGACGAGAAAGAGGCGAAGAGTGGCCCGAGGCTGGGTCCGACAGCAGCACGAGAATTCGGACACGGAGGGGGCCCCGGGCACGAGCGGCGGGCGCAGGAGCGGCTCCCGATACGGGCCGAGCGGGAGGAGCAACTCGTCGCCCGACGCGCGCCACGGGTCCGGGCCCGGGCCGCAGGCGGAGCCGGCGTGCCAGACCCTGGTGACATACCACACGCACAGCGGCGGGAGGCAGAAACCGGCGCCGCTCGACGAAGCGGCTCCGCAGCAGCTGCCGGACGAGCTGGTGGAGAAGCTGCTGGCATGGCTGCCGGTCACCAGCGCTCTGCGCTTCCGGGCCGTGTGCAAGCGGTGGCAGTCGATCCTGTCGCCCGAGGGCTGGCGGAGCATGTTCGACAAGCCCCCGGCCTGGAGCCCGTGCACGGGCTTCTTCTCGAGCGCGCCCGGGCGGCGCGAGTGCGCCTTCTTCGACTCGGGCGCGCAGCGCTGGGCCACGCTGGACCTGGGCTTCCTGCCGCGCGCGGCCTGCCGCCTGCTGTCCGCCAGCGGCGGCCTGCTGTGCCTGAGCCACGCGGGCGCGTGCAGCTGCGTCTTCATCTGTAACCCGATGACCAAGTCGTGGCGGGAGTTGCCGGCGTTCCACCAACGGCGGCGTCGCCCTGGGACCATGCTCGTGCACCTGCTGGTGGACACGGCCTCGCTCTCGTACAAGGTGATCGTGATCGGGCACCCCTCGTGCTCGGCCCCGTCCGCGGCCGCGGCCTCCGTGACGGAGGTGTACGACTCCCGCACCGGCGCCTGGACGGCCGTGGCCAACATCCCCTCGAGCGGCTGCATTCTGTCGCCCTCCGTCGCCTTCCGCAACGGCATCATCTACTGCCTGACGGAGAACCCCACGGGCCTTCTGGCCTTCAACATGGCGCGCAAGGTCTGGAGGCGGCTCGAGATCAAGAGCCACTCGCGCGTCCTCTGCGTCCTCGAGCACAACGGTCACATCCTCATCGTGGCGCGCCTGACCGCGCGCGTGACCAGGCTCGGCATCTGGCGGCTGCGCGAGACGTTCCCGCGCGTGTGGATCAAGGTGGCGCTCATGCCCGTCGAGCACGCGTTGTATTTCCTGCTGAGCGGCAAGTTCTGCTGCTTTGCTCAGGGCGATTGCATCTGTTTTGCCAGCCCCCGGCGCACGCGGTGGCTGCTCTTCCACATCCGCGAGAGATCGTGGACGTGGGGCTCTCCTGCCCGCGTGCTGGATCCGGACTGTTACAACAAGTGGTTTTTCTACGAGCCTAGGCTGGACATTGAAGCTTGACGATTCGGTCTTCCGCCGCAATTCGAAGCGAAGCATTTGAAGCCGCAGTGCCAGTGGAGGGCACAGCTTCGGGGGAGTATTGCGCGAATCGACTTGAATCTCGGCGATGTTTTGTAAAACATGACATCGTTGGGCTCCTAACCTCAACGGGGAATGAAGTGATCGCACAGCAGAGGAGAAATCTGAGCGCCTCACTCTCGGTCGAAGAAAGGGCTTGTATCGCCAGCTGGATTTCCCGACCTCCAGTCATCTGGCATTTTCTTGTTGAGTTGGCACTGCCAACTTGGCAGTCCTGCAACTGTAGGAGTTTGCTTGACGAATTACCAGAGTTGATTTGGTATCATTGTGGATTATGATATTGACGAAATCTGTCGAATAGTCTGTATGAATGTGGATACAGAGATCAGCCAACAATATTAACGGAAAGTTGGAGACATTTTGATAGTGTAGCAACTTGGCCAGATCAACACATTCTACTTCTTTACACTCTTGTATTGCGAAAAGTCCTATCGGGGGATAGGACTTTTCGCAACTATTCTACTCCATTGTTGTAGTGACCGGGTCCATGAACGTGGACCTCTCCATTAGCCCGGGCCTTATCACGCTGATTGAGTTCCACGCATCGGTACAGTAGAATCTGCCAGACACAAAACAGAATCGTTTCATGAAGTGTCTTCGTCCAAAGTTCTAACGTCCAGACGCTATGGGAATTCAGAACGATCTCTTCAAATGAATCTTTGGCATCTAAGAAAGTAATCTGCTACCCCCTCCTTTAAGGCTTGACTTAAGATGCTACATTACAATCAATTCCGAAATCTGCACATCACTCAATGATTTAGCCAAATCGTTCCCGAAGTATGGAATTCCTCATTGAGTGGATCGAACGTATATATAAACTAATACAGGTACATGTGTTTGTCAGAAAATTGAATCTGTGAAGTAGCTTAGCACTTCATACTAAACTTAATGCTAAGTATGCGGCGATTTTTACCTGGATTTTTCCTTATTTGAAGAGTTAGTATAGTATGATCCTTTTAATTCGGTCAATCGCAACTATAATTAACGGAAATAAACTGAAATTCAAATGCCATTCAATCCCACCAGATTCTTGTAGTGTAGATTCTTTCATTACCATATCGCCTCGTGCCTGACAGAACTTCGACAGTACATAGTGCAAAGTGTATTCCTCTTTTAGGACCTGTACTTCCATGTTCTCAGCTCTCTTCAACCAAGAAGCTCCTATTGAATGGCTCGATGTCGAAATTAAGAGTTCAACCATTCCTCCTCGTTCCCCAAAAGCTTTGCTCGCCACATACTGATGCCAAGAAAGTTCTTAGTTGCAATTGCTGACGTTACAATAAACTTTTAGTAAATTCATTCCGAGCGCACTCCGCATTGTTAGCCCTGATGGTCTTACCTTACAGAGATGCTGGATTGTCATCTGTGGTGGACAGCAAAGATATGGCTTTTCAAGGCCAAGGAGCACATCTTCACCATCGGAGAGGTTCACCAAAGGTCTCACCTGAAGGTGAATGACATACTGCAGTTCATAAAGATCCAATGTCATGTCATTCAAGCTTTTAGCGGAACCGCGGTTCCATGATTTCAAAATATTTACGAGATTCAAAGCTAGCATGAACGTGACAGTTTAAAGATCACCTCATCATCTTTTTCTTTTCGTGATTTTGCAGCAAGGTGATTAAGAAGTGTTGATGCTCGGCTGCACAATTTTTCCCTTGTTGAGGTTTTCGCATGCGGTCTCCTCACACTAGGAATTTCTCCATGCACAGTGGACCCACACGTCACTACCTTCGCTTGCGTTTGACCTTCTTTACGTGAAGAAATTCCACTCTCATAAGCAAATTTCGGTCCTCCACGGCCGTTTCGACTTTCGTACCGAGATCGAGATCCTTCTGCTGTCCAATTCTCCTTGTCATGATCATGATATTCATCACACATTCTATCACAATCCAGTTGAAGCAAAGTAATCGAACCACCATTGCCCAGAAGTCCATCATCTGTTGGAGTAGGCGAGACCTCCATGGCTTTCCCCCTTTGATTCTCTTTAGAGGGCGCTCCCATCACTACAAGTTCTTCACCGCACTTAGAAACTGATGAGCATTTCTTTCTCTGACGGTCTTCTTTCCTTTTACTCTGACTCCTAACTTCTGTGCTCTTTGACATACCCGAATCTATGTCCTTTATCACAATCCGTTTCAATGAAGGAGTGGGTGTGAGGCTAGAGAATTCATCCTGATCGGCAAGCTCACTTAAAAGCCTGAGACCATGATACGGCTCCATTTCTACATCTGCCTCATTATTAGCTAGATGGAGTATGTTCACATTCGTACTGATTGACGATTTAGCCCCAGCATCGCTTAAATCTGGAACCGCAGAGATATCTCTGAACCGCTCATCTTCACATCCAGCTCCTTTCGAATATGTGGCGATTCGTGTTTTTGAACCAACTGATTTAGGTCTCTTGAATCTTGCCATTGCTTCAGATTGGCGCTTGAAGGCTTCCTCAATTTTCGCCTGTGTCTGTTTAGTCGGTAACAAACATGGTTGAAACCGTGAAATCTCTCAAAAGTCCCTTTTCTTCCCTCTAGATCTTTCAGTGAGCATGCTGACAGCTAGGAAATATCCTAACATTATACGCAACTTTGTGACTACTTGGCAATACGCCCTGGACTACACCAACTGTACATCTGCCACTCATCACTCATTACACACGTTACTTTCAAATCCAGATAGTGTTACTCTCTGAAATGAAAGAGCGACCCGAATTTGAAAAAGGCGAAAAATAACGTTGAAGAGACACGGAAATAGAATTTGAGTTGTAAAGCATTGATAACGAAGAAGCAGATACAAGGGTAACAATATCTTAAACTTCAATACCTGTCTGTTGCTGATAAGAGTCTCCTCGAGCAAAGTGGATTCCTGAATTTATGAAGTTTATGTGGATCAGTATAGCTGGAAAAGCGTTTACGAGAAAGGTTTGACAAAAGAGCTTTTAACTTTTCGATCAATTTTCAGCAAGTATCAGATAAGTCTATTCTCTACCTCTTCCCGAATTTGCTCTATGTCCGGAAACATCGCAGCGATAAGGGCATCAAATTGGGGATCGTCCCTCAAAGACCTCCTGCTCGCGCAATGTGCGCGACATGTAGGGCATTCTTTTCTCCTGCGTGTCAAATTCAAACATTGATATGTATATACATATATATACTCACGTAACATAGTCTGAAGCTAACCTTGATCGATCCAAAATCAGATGCAGTTCACGTGCAGATCTAACAGCACCCTATTCATGATATGATACTTGCATATTTGGCTTCAATGCCAATTCGAGGAGAGTTATGCATATAAACCGTGCAATGGAACGTAATCGATGAATATAAGCTTTGAACAAATAAAAATTGAACAGTCTGATTGAATCTCTTACATCACACGGAATGTCTAATTGCAATCCACATAGTCGAGTCAGTCATAACATACCCAAGTCGCATAGCTTTATCAATGCATTCTCTGCAAAACCGATGAAGACACTCCATAACAGTGCGTGTGTTTCGGAGGATGCCTGCCCAGAATAAGGGAATTCAGATAAGAATCTTGTTTGCCAAAGGCAAGAGAGTCATTCTCTATGCTAATCGTTATCTGATATTGCATGTGGATAATACAAAAGTAACTCAGAGTTTGTTACAGTAAGCTCCAGATTGAAGCGTGGACCCTAATTCTGTAACATGCCGATGAACTCACCGTCCTTCTATCTCAGACCTTGATAATGGACCGTAGAAAACCTGAAGTAAATTGTCAGCAATAACTCCTGGATTATCATGTTGTGTTCTCACCTAGACAAATCGGGCACCGCATAACCTCGTGAATATCTCGCGATCGATAAACCTTTTCATATCTGCAGTCCAGTTCATTCCAGTGACATTACCGTCAGTCTAGAACATACCGACTCGTTTGTCTCAGTTTCTTTAGAATGCCTAGCATTAAAAAGATGAACGATGAAAGTGAAGCCTCAAAATTTGACTGATATACTTACGTCATCCGATGCTTCCCGCAGTGTTTGGCTCGCCTCAAACCTTCAGCCTTGAAAGTTTGATTACGTCGAGACTCCATGACGCTGGTTCTCCTTCCCATATTTGGGTGTCGTTTGTCAGAAAGGGAGTACCTCATCCTGAAAGCTCAAGTAATCCCAAGACGAACCTACGCTACTTTCTGACTGCCACTGGAAAAACTGTCACTGTCGCATCAAACCCTCAACGAGTATATCATCCTTTTCATATACTCAAAATTCCTCTCTCCCATTGGACTGGTACCAATTCGCTCCTTTTTTCGCGGATTCGCTCAAGTACGTGAAAAACCTTCATGTGTAGAAGAACCCTCAACCCACTGCTGCGGATCGATCGCTGGCCTCGAGTCACGCTTCTTGCAGAGCAACCCCGCTTCTGGAGAATATATGGACTTCCGGAGGCTTACGACGTCGCAAGTTGCAGATCGCAGGTCGTAATCAACGTGCCACAGAGCGGAGCTGACTCACGCTGTCCGACGAGGCCCAAGCGAATCCGGAAAAAAGGAGGGCGTTTTGGTACCGGCCAAATGGGAAAGATGAGTTATGATAATTTGAAATACTATAAGGAATTGTGGGTATATGTGTTTTTCCCCTGGGATGGATCAAACGGAGCGATCAAACGTATCAAACGGTAAGACGTAGGTTGTGAGAAGCCGAATCTGAAGGTGGGGATTGATGACGCATTTAGTTTCCCACATCATTGCGTTTGTGTAGGGATAATTTTGGGATGCAGTCCAGTAATAATAAGATAAATAAATTTTAATTTTTTTTAAAAGCCAACGGATTCACAACTTTTGATTTCTTTGTATCTTGAGATTGTTACGTGAAACGTATATTTTATTTCAGATCTTTGATTGCTCTTCTTGATTCGAACCGTTACGTTGGGAAGAAAATTGACAAGAAAAACGATGAATCTTACTTATTTGCGAGTTCATCCCATGCAGAATAGAGGTGAAGAAGTAACCGCGAGACAAAGGAGGATTTATTCTTCCGAACGGTTAAAAGAGTCATTCCCTACTTGTCTCCATCGAGCAGCTGCTAGATGTGGACGTGGAATTCGAGCTGATGCAGAAAAAATCTCCTCAGACGTCCATCGTTTTCTCAGATCGTCCTTCCACAAGACTCATGTATGAGTTGGTCTAGATCTGAAGCCAACAACTGCAGCGATAGATTCGCATTCCCATCTGTTCTGATTCTACTCGAGTTCCCATCATCTCGGTCCACTCAAAAGCCCCCGACATGACACTCCTTCACTATAAGCGGAACGAAGCCACTGCTCCAGATCCTTTAAATTCCTTTGAAGACTCTGAGGCACCGACGAATCGCGTCTCGTCTAATACAGCATATATTGCAGCTGTTTTCTGAACGGAGCTGTCTTGTGCTTTGCGTATGACAGCAGAATTTAGGTCTGGATACTGGAGTTCCTCTCTCTCTCTCGGGAAGACTTACCCACAGATTTCGTAAGTCATCCGCCTTTCTGTTGACTAATCGGAGCCCATGATAATTGGTGTGAAAGACTGTTGACACATCAGATGCAGTCACACAATCGAAAATAAAGAAATTAGATGCAGACACTAAGTTGTGTGCATGTGATATTCGGATCACGGTATTGTTCTGGGCTAGACGAGTACGTCATATTCTGCAGGTACTGCTCGGTCTCGATTACTAATGGGTTATTTGATAGAAAAAGTCAGGTAGCAAACGGAGGCTCCAGTTCATCTTCAGATTGTACTTCTTTCGTAGAGCTTTTTAATTTCTTCTCATGTAATTCTACAAATTTTTTCACTTCATAAATTAATGAAATTATATAACTCACGAAATTTGAATCAAAATTCATCGTCTTTTCTACATTATCAATTTTGTTTCAAGGTACACGATGGAAACATAGAATAGCAATCAAAGATTTCAAAAAGACGTTGCATTTAACAATCTAAAGATACCAAGATTTTAAAAGTTGTGAATACTATTTAAATGATGTCGTGATTTTCTCTTTCAAATTTTATTTATTTATTGTATTATTATTGAAATACATCCATTATCCCTGCACAAAAGCAATGAGGTGGGAAACCTTACCGTAATATTTGAGCAACAGACTTCCAACCACAAACTGAACATTGCTTGTAATAATAATGAGAAAAAAAATATAGATCGTGGTTGCCATCTTAACTTCTCTATAATGAAATTAAAATGAAATAATCTTCGCTAGAAGCAAGGGACAGCACACCTTCAATTCAGTGTCATGGTGGTCTAATGATGAATGAATCCCTCTTTCGCATAGATTTTTTTTTGTATCTGAGTATTATCATTTGTCAATCATGAATAAAAAAAAGGGGAAAGATGAATAAGATGGCGACTTTAATTCTCTCTGAACTTCAACGATGAAATCCGGATCGCGTGCGTGTCTGAACTGTAACTAAATTCCAGACCAGGAGAAGGTTCATTTGAAAACATCAAACGCTGTAAGTTCTGATCTCATTGATCGCAGGAGGAAATATCTACGTGAAAGCACAACTTTGAATAATACTCAGTATTCGATACTGGTGTGATTTGACAAGTTTTGATAATGGATACTCTCCAAAAAAATCTAAACAAAGTGGACAAATTGATTCATAAGCATATTGCAAGAATAAGGTTCAGCCTTAAATCAAAAGTTGTTCGCGTTATACACACTTGAACCACAACTTCGGCCGTTGCACAAATTATATTCGTGTTGAATTGTTCGATTGTGGAATGTGATGGTTCCACTCCTCGTCCAGAGGTCCAGGCCTTCCAGACCAAGAGAGAGCGTCATGTACATGTTCCCTGGACCGATAGGAATGGCGAAGAAGCCGCATATTCAAGTAATGTGAGAACGGTGGTTTCTGAGAATGGATCGCTCTAGAATCCGAAGGAGCTGCCTAAAATTCCATTATTCTTGAGCCAATCGCGAGCCTGATTGAAATATGAACACACCAGATGGTTCTTGTCTCCACACCTGCTGGTGGGGTTCGGAAGAAGAAGCTACAGCTGTCTCCTTAATCCTTAATGCAAGATATTCTTGGATGAGATGCTTCGTGCAAGGACGTTATCTACAGCAAATTGCACTGTGAAGTCAGTGGGCTTCGCTGCCACCTTTCTTAAGTTCCCATGGCGGGTGATAGCGAGGACGACATGTCCTCTGAATACCGACTTACTGGCAGAGTCTAGACATAGATGATGTGACCCCCAACGGGCAGTTCCGTGAGTTTGGCATGCTGGTGACCAGACTCTCGCTCACTTTAGCCGACTCACTCTCGCCCACGTCTAGGAAAGAAGCTAGAAAATGATATGTTTTACTTACCCTCTATTAATCTTTGAAGAAAGGCCCTTAGGGACCTGGCTCTGGTATTTATTGGGTTCATTCTTAACCGTACTCGTCCGTGCACACTGATTAGATTGTTGTCGCTATGGCTCCCGGTTGGAAAATAATCTTGAAGCTGAGAAGCTGAGAAGCTGTAGTCAAACTCTTGTAAGAGGAAAATTATGTCAGGTTTGTAAATTTGACTTCTGATATGTTTCACTCCATCGATACCTTATCTTGATCTTGATTCGTATTAGTACCTTGTATTTTGAATCTTGTAACATTAAGTGGACACATTTAACAAGCATACATTGATTGCATTGTTCTTGCTCCTCGAGCTTGATCCATATTTGTCAGGTGTGCACGGTGGTCTGCGTTAACATTTTAACCCTCGCTCAGTTCGGTCTTCATACATCCCTACCTCATTCATCAGAAGCATGTCAAACACTCGCTATCTGGTTAATTTGCGTAAATGGGGATGCTTATGAATCGATCGCATCATGTATTAATTTACAAGTATTGTAACTTAGTTTGAATTTTTCTTAAATGTTTCTCATTTAAAAAAATTAATCTAGACTAAAGTCTCATCTACTTGTATCCTTGTACATTTGCTGCACATCACAAGATTGTAATGGAGTGTCGGATACTTTACTGGTACCAAATGATTATCAAGGTGCCCACATATACGTAGTCGTTTGGGCCTATGAAACCAGGCCAGAGTTTAATCCTGTAGCAACGCCATTGTGTCAAAAGCTCAAGTTATCATTTGGGTATGCAATTGCAACCAATTTTTTAATTTCCTTAACGCTTTCCGGAAAAAAACACTTCAGAATATATGTCAAGGAATTGGGTAAGCAGTCTTAGGATCAGTTAGGATCTACGTTTGGACCAACCGACGTAATGTCTTAGACTTAGACTGGTTGTCACACATAATCTTCATAGCTCTTCCAAAATCTGCTAGAACAATTTTGACTCGTTTGTTTTAAAGAGAGTGCCACACATTCAGCGTCAGTGCTTGAAGGAGCCATGATGTTTTGATGATAGCATATCTGCGTAAACGAAGCAGTATCCAACTTTAGATTTCCTCGTAGTAAGTGAGGATACTTAGATTACGTTGTGGGCACAGATAAAATGCTCTTGATGATGCCGATCTCCATTTTCACTTATTCCTCTTAACTCCAACCGACACTATTATACATTTGATTTTGTGAGTTGGCTATTTTTTAGATAGGAAATATAATAGTATTTTTAAAGTTTTTTTCAATAGATAGTTTTGATCTGATAGAGTAAATACCTCATAAATTTTTCAATTTGTAATCAATTGACTTAAATAGAGTTTCAATAGATAGAACTTGGCATGCTCGTTCTAACGAGCCCAAAAACTTTTGAAACGATTGAGCAATCATTGAGTTATGAGTTTCAGAAATGGCTGGTACGAATAGGTGAAAGTACTTCGGCTCAAAGTTCTTTGGCTCAAAATACTTCGGACTTCGGCTCAAAGTTTCTTCGGACTTTGGACGAAGAGAATTCAGACTTCGGACTTGGAGGGATTTGAGAGTGTATGATTCCTGGGTATCACCAAGGATCAAGTTACCCCAGCGAGAGTGAAGATACAGGTTTATGGGTGAGACTATTTTTAGGTGAGATTGGGTGGGTTTTCAGTGTTTTATTCGTGGAAATACTCTTTGACCCTTGGAGAGGGGCCATGGATGCTTTGGCCTTGGCTTTTCGGAGGTGCTTGGGACTTTTTGCGTGCTATATAATTCAGTGTTTGTGAGTTCAGAGGGGGGTGGCATCAGGAGGTTATAAGCTTAGAGCCGAGACGAAATGTCCGTTTTCTTTTCCTAATGGCTGATGAGACGCAAGTTAGTGGTACTTTCCTCGTGTGATGCATGTAGATTTCTAGTAGCCAGCTTCCCTTGTGTACTTCTGAGA